TTTTTTCCCACTCAGCAGAATTTTTCAGATTCATCCAAGTTGTTCTAACAATAGTTTGTTTCTTTTTATTGCTGAGTATTATTCCATGATATGCACGAAACACAGTCTGTTTAACCATTTACCTGTTGAAGAATACTTGCATTGTTTCCAGTTTGGGGCTATTATGAATAAGGCTGCTAAACATTGCTGTACAAGTGCTATAAACACTGGTGTCCAGGTGCTTGTATGAACACCAGTTTCAGCTCTCTGGGATAAATGCCCAGGAGTGCAACTGCTGGGTTGTATAGTAGGTGCAAGTTTAGTTTTATAAGAAAATGTCAAACTATTTTCCAGAGTGGCTGTGCCGTCTCACTCTCCTATCGGCAACGTATATATGATCTAATTTCTCTGCATTCTCTCTAACATTTGGTGTTATCTCTACTTTCTATCACTATTTTTAATTATAGCCATTCTGATATGTGTGTAGGGATATCTCATTGTGGTTTTAATTTGCATTTTTTGATGGCTTTAGTGCTGAACATCTTTCATGTGGTTATTTGCCACATGTATCTCCTCCTTGGTGAAATGTCCCTTCATTCTTTTGTCCATTTTCTAATAAGATAATTTGCTTTTTAATGTTGAATTTTGAGAGCTCTTCTTATATTCTAGATACAAGCCCTATGTTAGAAATATTTCTTGCAAATATTTTCTTTTGCGAGTTTTTTTATTCTTTTACCAGGGCCTTCCACCGAGCAAAAGCTTTCGATTTTGATGTGGTCCAATTTATTAACTTTTTTTGTAAGTCATGTTTTTGTGTCAAGAATGAAAATCTTTTGCCTAGCTTTAGGATACAAGGATTTTCCCCTATTTTTTTCCTAGAAGCATTATAGTTTAACATTTTACATTTAAATATGTGACCCACATTGAGTTAATTTTTTTAATTGAAGTATAGTCAGTTTACAATGTTGTAACAATTTCTGGTGTACATCATAATGTATCAGTCATACATCTACATAAATACATTCCCTTTTCATATTCTTTTTCATTATAGGTTACTACGAGATATTGAATATAGTTCCCTGTGTAGAAACTTGTTTATCTATTTTATATATAGTAGTTAGTATCTGCAAATCTCAAACTCCCAATTTATCCCTTCCCATCCCCTTTCTTTCTAGTAGCTGTAAGTTTGTATTCTATGTCTGTGAATCTGTTTTGTAGATGAGTTCATTGGTGTCTTTTTTTTAGATTCCACATATAAGTGATATCATATGATATTTTTCTTTCTTTCTGGCTTACTTCACTTAGAATGACAATCTCCAGGTCCATCCATGTTGCTGCAAATGGCATTATTTTATTCTTTTTTAATTCTGAGTAGTATTCCATTGTATAAATATACCACAGCTTCCTTATCCAGTCATCTGTTGATGGACATTAAGGTTGTTTCCAGGTCTTGGCTATTACAAATAGTGCTATGAACATAGGGGTGTATGTATGTTTTCAAATTAGAGTTCCCTCCAGGATAAGCCCAGAAGTGGGACTGCTGGATCATACATAAGTTTATTTTTAGTTTTTTGAGGAGTTTCCATACCATTTTCCATAATGGCTGTACCAAACTACATTCCCATCAACAGTGTAGGATTCACTTTTTTCCACATCTTCTCCAGCATTTATCATTTGTGGACTTTTTATTGATGTCCATTCTGATTGGTTTGAGGTGACAGACATTTCACTGCAGGTTTTTTTTTTTTCACTGCAGTTTTCATTTGTATTTCTCTGATAATTAGCGATACTGAGCATTTTTTCATGTGCCTATTGGCCATTTGTATATCTTCATTGGAGAATTGTTTGTTTAGGTCTTCTGCCCATTTTTGGATTGGATTGTCTGGTGTGTTTTGTTTTTTTTTGTTGTTGTTACTAAGTTGTATGAGCTGTTTTTATATTCTGGAAATTAAGCTCTTGTCAGTTGCACCATTTACAAAGATTTTCTCCCATTCCATAGGTTGTCTTTTTGTTTTGTTTATGGTTTCCTTTGCTGTGCAAAAGCTTGTAAGTTTAATTAGGTCCCATCTGTTTATTTTTGCTTGTATTTCTATGGGCTGGGTAGACTGCCCTAGGAGAACATTGCTAAGATTTATGTTAGAGAATGTTTTGCCTATGTTTTCTTCTAGGAGATTTATAGTGTCTTGTCTTATGCTTAAGTCTTTAAGCCATTTTGAGTTTATTTTTGTGTATGGTGTGAGGGAGTGTTCTAACTTCACTGACTTACATGTGGCTGTCCAGTTTTCCCAACGCCACTTGCTGAAGAGACTCTCTTTTTCCATTGTATATTCTTATCTCCTTTCACACTGAGTTAATTTTTGTGTGAGATAAGAGGTTTAGGTCAAAGTTCACTTATCTGCCTATGGTTGTCCAATTGTTCTAGCTGTATTTGTTGAAAAGTCTATCCTTTCTCCATTGAACTGACTTTCTTCTTCTATCAAAAATCAGTTGGACGTATTTACACGGTTCTATTTCTGGGTTCTTCATTCTGTTCCACTGATCTGTGTGTCTATCCCTCCACCAATATCCACAATGCCTTGATTACTACAGCTCAACAGTAAATATTAACATTTCACACTGTGATTCCTCCCACTTCATTTCTCTTTTTCAAAACTAGAATCTTTGCCTTTTCATATAAATATTAGAATAAGCTTCTCTATGTCTATAAAAAACCTTGCTGTGTTTTTTTCAACTTTTAAAAATTGGGGTAAGTATATATTAAGATAAAATTTTATCATTTTAACCATTTTTAAGTATTTGATTCAATACACTTGAGCATAGATGCTGCAAAGATTAGATAAGGGGACAGTGTGAACAACTTTGTGTCAAAACATTTGAAAGCATACAAAATAAATCAATATTTAGAAAAAAGTATTTTAAGTGACTCAAATAGAGAAGATCCAAAATATCCTATACCTATTAAAGAAGTTGAATCAGCAGCTAAAAAAAACAACAAAAAAAAGAAAGAAACCACCTCTAACTATAAAACACCAGAATCAAATGATTTTATGAAGGATCACAAGTATTCAAGGTTCATATAATTCTAATCTTACATAATCTCTTTCAGAAATGAGAAAGAGAGAAAATTCCTCAATTTATAATGAAAAGTTAGTTCAACTTTGATATAAAATGCATAACAAGGACAAGAAAGGAAAATTACCAGACATTCTCACTCATGAAATAGACTCAAAATTCTAACCAAAATATTAGCAAACTGAATTCAGCAATGAATAAAACACACAAATAAAAAAAATAATATATCATGCCAAGTCAGGCTTATCCCAGGAATGCAAATGATTTCCAGGGTCCTGGCTCATGCAATAAGTGGTACCATTTACTAGAAAGGAGGCACAGGGTTTGGGGCTAAGATCACAAGAATGACTCCCTGAGTGCAGGGAGTTTCTGAATGTCCAGGTAAAGATAGCTAAGCAGCACCCAAGAACACTGGTCTGGAGCTCAAGTATAAGCAGGGCTGGAGACAAGAGTACTGAGAGTCACCAGTACAGAAGTAGTGCCATGTCTTACAAGTGGGATAAAGACAGGGACCATGGCCTGAATCCCAGACAATCCCAATGTCTAAGAAACGAGATTCCCTGAAAAGATAGGTCAGAGAATCAGGGAAAGAAAGGACCAGGAAGGGGAAAAAAAAAAAAAAAAGGTGACTCAAATCATGCAATGAGAAGGAGAAGGGGACAGAAGAATTCAGTCACTGGAGTCCACCATGACAGGGAGCTTCAGGACATGGTGAGGGATGATGGCTCACTGTTGTGGGGTGCTGGGTGAATGGTAAGAGGAAACAGAAACAGGGAGTGTGGTCAGTGCTTCCAAGAAGGCTGGCTGGGGAGGGAAGGAGAGAGCATGCAAGAGCAAAGGGAGGAGTAGAGTAGAGGATACAAAAATCTGCAGACCATCCAGATAGAAAAAGGAAAAAAGGGTGACGAGAAAAATACAACACACAGCCTGTCCCTCACATTCCAGAAGGGAAAAGATTGACTGTTCCTTAGTTACAATCCCAAGGCGTGAACACGTAACTATCAGAACTAGATTTCAAACCCATCCTAACTGATCAGTGATGACTTGCTTCACTTGATTATGTTACTGAAAGTTGGCAGAGTCCCAGTCCAGTGACCACACTTCCATGGCTAAAGGTGAACCAGTCCCTGAAAAGTCCACCCATCCTGGAACTCCACATTTACCCAAAATGAAGGGGGGTAAAGCAGAAAGTACTGAGGCAAGGCCTCAAAGACACAGTGGCAGATAATTATAAAGAGCACAAATGGGGCCGTGGGTCTTGGATAAGAGAGACTGCACTGGTCTCTTGGGAACAGAGAAAAGGAGCAGGCTGATAGCAGCAGCGGCTGCAGCAGGCAACGTGAACCCTTAGATGTACCCTTTCAGGTCACACGTACAAAAAGACTCCGAGACGTGGAGCAAGACTTGAGTTGTACAGGAGCAAGCCGGGACTCAAACTCACGTCTGTCTGACCACAAGGCCTAAACTCCCTACTGCCACCGACCCCATGCCCCTATTACCTTCCACCCTGTCTCCTTTTAAACTCTGACAGCGTTTTGGGGATCTTTTCATACAGCACTTTCCACACAACAGCTTTCACTGGTGATACTTGTGTTTGATTCATTCCTACCCCCCTTACTCACTCCAGAATTCAAACTTTTTGCATAGCTCTACAGGTTTTTATGTGGCAAGTGCTCAATAAAGAAACAAATATAGCTGTAATTGTCAAAACTGTTACATGCTGACTTTCAAAAGTGCTTATAAATTTCCTTCATAAGTGATTTAAGCCAGCCTCACTACAGTTTTCTTTACAGTATGTGCTCAAAACTCATTTACCACAGATATTACAAAGGTAAAGCAATATTAACACTGTATGTCTCATTCACTGCCAGTTATAGATTAGTGAATTTAGTCTCCACTACGGAGATTTCACCATCTTTGCAAGTATGAGCCTAAAAAGCACTTCTTACCTGAATTTTGATGGGCCACGTGAAATTACTGACATAAACAAAGAAAGTGATGTTTGGGTGGTTGCGAAAATCAAACTTCTCATTAGAGAAGCTGTCTTTGTACTCCTTAATGTTGGTTTTTGAAACAACGGGCATCTCTTCTCCAGCTTGGGTTCCAGCTGTTAGGAAGAAAAGAACGAAACAGAAAAGACCTTTTTTTTTTTGGACCGAATCTGCCCTAATAATTGCGATAATAGTTAGCACTTATTAAGTACTATGTTCCAGGAACAGCCTTTAAGAGCTCCATTTCATTTAGTTCTAACAACCACCTTCCTATTATCCTCATTTACACATCAGGAAACTTAGGTTCAGGAAAATTAAGTAACTTGGCTCAGGTCACACAGCCAGGAAGAAGCGGAGTTGAGATCTGAAGCTGGGTGCACTGATACATAAGCCTGTGCCCTTAACCAAAATGGTTTTATCAGGAACCCCTACAACTTGCCCTACGGAAACAGGCTACATGTGGCTGTGACAACACAGATGCCATTAGAATCCTATTCACAAGAAATGGCATTCACTCTGCCCATAACACTTCACTTGCTTTTCATTTCCTCCTTACTCATGTTTGGCAGAGCTCCAGATCCCCCACACCAGGGACATGGATCCAGCCCTCACTTCCTAGCCAGCAGTGACCTCAAGTCTCAACAGTAGCAGGGAGGGAGGCACTCTAGGGGGTCACTCAGTCCCTTCTGCTACCAGCTACACGGAATTTAAACACCCTCCATCTGATACAAACCCATCCTACCCCTAGACAGTCCTTCAACATTCCATTGTGTCCCTCAACCAGGAATTCTAGTGTCTGTAAACATTCCTGAAATAGGCTTTTCCCATGTCTGAGTTACAGCCTGGGACTGAAGTCCAGACTGGTGAGACCATCATTGCAAATCAATTACATACTCAGGGATGCTGCCTTTTTCCAAACAAAGGCTCCAATAACTCAGACTTTTTCTTAAAGGTCTCTCCTCACTGCAAGTTTCTGAACCTTTTCTGAATTCTACACAATCTTTTAAGACATGATAAACACAAAATGATGTGCAAAGGTAATGTTTTTATTTTGTTTCAGTATAACTGGTTGTGTTTTGAACAAAAAACAGTAATAAAGATGATGAAACACAGTTACCACTCAATGAGAATTTAACCATGTTTCTAGCACTACACTGAGTTCTTCATTTATTATCTCATTTAATCCTCAGAACATTTTACACAGATAGGTGTTTTTAATCATCTCATTTCATCCCCGAGGAGACAGGCTCAGAAAGCATGGTGCTAATAAGTACCAGGTGGAATTTAAATCCACGTCTGTTGAGCTACATTCTTACCCACTACATTGGGGCCATTCTTTCTTTCTTTAGTAGATTTTCTACCCAGTAGATCTTATTTAGTGAATCATAGCAAGACAAACAAGATAGCAAAACCTGTGCTCTTAGAGCTTGATTTAATTCCCAAAGTACATTTTCCCTTGTATCCACCAAAATCTCATTCTAATAAAAATGTTTCCATTTCTTGAGACTGAGTCACTTGCATTTTTCACTTCTGAAGCACGGATGGGGACGATGATGGTAGTGCTGGAGCCACGGTATTAATGGTGGTGGGAGAGCAGGGGTAGTGAGCACACACTGATCCTAAGACCATGGCAGGCACTGACAGCTATAGCTTAATTTAATCTACACAGTAACTCCAGGAGATAAATATTATTATCTTCTCTTTCAGATGAATAACCCCTAAGGGTCTAGAGATAGGTTTTAGACACTTGCTCAAGGTCTCCCAGCTAAATGGCAAAGGTGGGTTTCAAACCCATCTGTCTGTCTCCAGAGCCCCCTTTCTCAACTCCTTCTCATCTGTTACCTCCACTTGGAAGGTCTTCTCTAGGTCTGTCTTTACCTGAGAAGCTGGGGGCCCAGGTGATGTTGAGGTTGAAGTTTTTGGAGGCATTGATGAACATGTCCAAATCCCTGTTTTGCTGGTGAGAAATACAAATAATTAGAAAATTAATTATAACAGTTTCCTGATTTTAAAATAAAGCAGTAATTATTTTACTATTCTTAACTTTCTTAATAATAAAAAATATACTTTCATGTCTTAAGAAAAACTCACGGCTTACAGGAGAATTAGTAAAATTTCTAATCAATTCTCCTTAACATAAAAGCAATATGTCCCAAGTAAATTTCATTTCCCTCCCATAAATGTATATGGGATTTAATGCTTAATCAAATGCCTAATTCCATGAGAAAGTATCTTTAAAAACATCCTTCCCAGAGCACAATGACCTATATCCTGTGACCTATGTTAGGGGGATAAGCCTCCTGAGGGTCCTCTGGGCAGCCCTTTCCATACATCTGGAGAGTAAAACACTAGATCAAGTGCCCCAATTTATATTTATTTACAAATTAAACCTATGTACTTGTGAACCCATAGATTATATACAGTGCAGAGTTCTCCAAAATGGAATTTTTTTAAAAAAAGCATATAAAGCTGAAATATAAACTGAAAAACTTTTGTCTTTATTCATGATTTAAAAACATTTTTCTCTCACTAAGAAGACTGTTTGAATAAAACAGAATATGCTTTATTATCTTTGAAAACTCTATATAACCACTTAGAGATACAGCAATTTGAAGAGCTAGTTTAATACATTCTGACTTGTGGTTTTAATGACTAAAAAAGGTGTCTCTGAGAAATGTGTTGTGCCAGCTGAAAGAAGAGCACAGTCAGCTATGCTGGGTAAATTAAAATCATGATACTAATTTTTCGTTTTCACTGAAATTTGGCTAATTAATCTCTTTCTTGGGGTCCAAGAATTGTTTTTTCGAATAATTCAGATACTGCATTTTATATTTTTGGATCTAATCCTGCTGAGATTCTTCATTTTTGAAAGACTTTAAAACAGGTTAGAAAATTAAGATTTTCCAGGGTGGTATTTTGATAGTTCTTATAGCACAAAAATTACAAAAACGGGAGCATTTCCAAATAACCATTTCAAAATGTGGTCTCCAGACCAGAAGTTTCTCTCACAAAGCAGTTACCTTCTTATTTATTGATAAAATCCTACCTTGAGCTGAAGGGCCAGCTCAAGCATTTATTTAATTTTTAATATTTGCTGGCAGCACATTACTAACAATTACTTCTTTCCACGGAAAGAATTAATAAACTTGAAATCCTTGTGTTTTTTAAAAGACAAGATGCATACATTGGATAATTGTATTAAATATTCTGTCATAAGAGAAACAAGGCAGTTAAGTAAATTTCCTGTATGGTACTTTTGCTATAACCATATTCTAAAATTTTTAAAGACTTTCGGTCAACACAGCCACTGAAATGACATATCAACAGTTTTTCCACAAACTATTTTCACTGAAAGTCACTTCTTATTTTTACTTAAAAAGCTATTCACTCATAAGAGTGTATCTTCTCAAGTACATCTCTTCTTAATTTTATCATTGAAGTGGAATATGAAAAACAAATCTTACTTTAATTGTAAATATTCCACACTGTGGATCTTGTTTTACGACTGATTTACTTATTTCTTAAATTTAGCACTGCTTGCTGATAACATTTGTTAATGAAGGAATACACTTCGGCTTGTTACCATATTGTTTTCCACGTATTATTTGTTACATTTATTGTGACAAGAATTTTGTAATGGCAAATGGTTTGTGTATATTGATAAGAAATAAGAAACCTCCAAGGAGGCTCCCAAATAATTTTCAAGTTTAGTAAAGTTTCACTATGTACCGGAGTAGGGAATGAATAACTTTGTATTTCAATGAAGAAATCATACACATGTGTCTTCATGTTATAGATGCTTCACTTTTAAATGTCATGCTGTGTTGGCTCTCTTCTGCTGCTAGGTAATACCTTGTGGCAGACTGGGGTTTACCATTAACAACAGTAGATATAAAAACACATTTCAAATAGTTATCAAAACAATTTCAATTATTTCTGGCCAAGTTCTTATTGGACAGCTAAGCATGTGCTGTTTTTGCCACTTAATGAGACTAAGAACACATTCTAGGAACAGAAGCGTCACCTCTGCCACCTTCCTTGCATCACTGGTATTAATTTCCATTTTGAAAGAGTAAATCTGGGCTCTGTCACTGCCCCCCTGACACAGCAATTCCCCTTGCAATCTCCTCCACTTTCCTGTTTGGGGCTGTGATGGGCTGATGGGCAAACCAAGTATGTGTGGAGTCAATGTCACTCTGTGTATCAGACCCTGGTAAATCTAAACAACATCGTTCTTACCTTTTAGATAAAAAGGAGGATAAATGTAGATTAACATTTCTTTCCTGTACCTCTAAACATCATCCTGTGTACTCCACTCTGGAGACCACTGCTAAGGCAGTGCTTCTATCCATAATAATCAAGAAAAAAACTCACACTAATTCAAAACAAAGTAGGAAGATTTTTAAATCTTACTTCATCAGGTGTAGCCACAAAATTGATGGCTGTGTAATAGCGGTCATCTTCCTGGGATAGGCTAAAGGTGAACTGATAGTCAATAAGAAGAGTATCTATGGAAAGAAAGAAATGTGTATTTAAAAACTGAAATAAAACAGAGTAAGTCTCTAGAAATACAGATTGATTTTTCTCATAAATATTCAACAGCCAGGACAGCACTACTGACAAAGGAATCAAGTCTACGGGCAATATCATTTTGTTTGAGTTAACCTACCAAAAACTTTTTGTATCATGACCCTGGTTGAGATTTTTAGGCTCCAATCTAACTCACCTACAAATATTAACTAAGCATGCTGGTTTTGCTTAAAGATACAAAGTTATAAATTAATCATAAGACTCCATGTAAAAATAGTTGACTCCAGGTCTGGGGCAAGGACTATGTGCCTCAGACTCGGAGAAAATATATGCCTCAGTTACTTTATCCTAGAAAGCAAGAAAGTGTTCAAAGGCTAATGTAATGTGGCAAAAGAACACAGCTTGAAAAAGAGCCTTCTGTCCAAAGATGGTAAAATTTAATTCTAAGAAGTACTACACAATTCAACAACCCGATTTAAAAATGGGCAAAAGACTTGAATAGACATTTCTCCAAAGGAGATATGCAAATAGCCAATAAGCACATGAAAAAATGCTCAGCATCAGAGATCATTAGGGAAATGCAAATCAAAACCACAATGAGGTACCGTATCACTTGTAGTAAAATGGCTACTACCAAAAAAACTTGGTGAGGATGTGGAGAAACTGGAACCCTTCCACACTGCTGTTGAGAATGTAAAATGGTGCAGCCACTGTGGAAAACAGTATAGCAGTTCCTTCAAAAAATTAAAAATAGAATTACCAAATGATCCAGCAATTCCATTTCTGAGTATATACTCAAAAGAACTGAAAGTAGGATCCTGAAGGGCCATTTGTACAATCATGTTTGTAACAGCCAAATAGATCATAGCTATTATTTACGACAGTCAAAAGGTAGAAGCAGCCCAAGTGTCCATCAACTGATGAAGGGATAAACAAAAATGTGGTACATACATACAATGGAATATTACTCAGCCTTAAAGAGAAAGGAAATTCTGACATACTACAACATGAACGAACCTTGAGGACGTTATGCTAAATGAAATAAGCCAATCACAAAAAGACAAATACTGTATGATTCCACTTTTACGAGGTACCTAGAATAGTCTAATTCATGGAGAAAGCAGAACAGTGGCTGCCAGGGGGAAGAGGGAACTGGCAAGTTGTTGGCAAGTTTGTTTTTTACTGTTTAAGAAATTGCCAAATGATTTTCCCAAGTGGAAAACCATTTTATATTCTCCTAAAAAGTTTATAAGGGCTTCAGTTTCTCCACATCATTGCTAAAACTTGGTATTAGCTTTATTTTTCAAGACAGAAATATATTATAATGTATCCGATTACAAAAAAATTAATTGATGTGGTTTCAGACTCCACACTGTTAACTAACCTTTAAGAAATGACCAGTTGTTTGGTTTTAGTATGGTATCAAGGGACAATATCTGAATCTAAAAAGGTTACTCAAACACCCTATCCTTTTCCAACTATCTGTCTGGTGAGGCCAGATTTTTTTTCACATACTTTAAACAGAAATATACTGCAAGAGATTGAAAGCAGAAGGAGATATGAGAATCTAGTTGTCTTTTATTAAGCATGGTATCAGCTTTTTAAAAAATTTTTTAGATTTTATTTTTGTTTTCTTTTTTATTGAAGTACAGTTGATTTACAATGTTGTGTTAGTTTCAGGTGTAGAGCAAAGTGATTCAGTTTATATATATGTGTGTGTATATACAAACATACATATCCTTTTTCAGATTCTTTTCCATTATAGGTTACTACAAGATATTGAATATAGCTTCCTGTGCTATATAGTAGGTCCTTGCTGTTATCTGTTTTACATATAGTAGTGTATACCTGCTAATCCCAAACTCCTAATTTATGCCCCCCAACCCCACCCTCTCACCCCCAGCATTGGCTTTTGATTCTAGTCATTTTAGGGTGTATGTCACTGTAGTTTTAATACACATATCCCAAATGTCTAATGCTACCCATTTTTTTCATGTGCTTATTGGTAATTCGTGTAAGAATTGCCAGGTATAAGAATTCTTCATATACTCTGAATATAAACTTTTTATCAAAGATATGCTTTGCAAACATTGTCTGTGTCTGTGGCTTGTTTTTTTTAAAAAAACAAGTTTTAAATTTGGTAAATCCCAATAGACAACTTTTTCTTTTGTGAATTGTTCTTTTGGAATTACAGCTAAGGTACACAAGATCATGAAGTACCTCTTGTTTTTCTAGAAAAAACACACTTACAGGTTCTAGCTGGAATGAATTTTGAGGGGACGCTATTTAACTCAGAAAAGCTGGTTTGTAATTATAATAGAATGCCAAAACATTAGCTCCTTTTTCTCCAGTTCCATAATCTGTCCTATTACGTGGACTCTCTGACAGGAAGAAAATGCATTTACCCACCCAGATCTGGTCCTGGTCACCCTGCCAGACTTCCCTTTCACTGTAAGTTAGACATTACTTTATTTTACATATTAGTTCCTAAAGAGGTGGTTAACACAAGTCAGTTTTAGAGGGAATGATAACTTCAACTACATTTTAAGGATTGTTTTTGATCTATACTAAAATATGAAATATGATGACCCCAACCAAGTAATGGCAAATGAAAGGTTTCAAAAGAATATAAACAAGGAAAGGCAGAGATATTTACTGCTGTATTCTTCCCTGATATCTGCTATGAAAATACTGATATAAACCACAACCAGAATTAAAGCAGCTTAAAACAGTGTTCATATCTGTAGTAAACCTAATAGAATGTAACGCAGCAAATTAGGGGACACGTCCACCAGTGTTCATTGTATTCCTGCAGCACTTGCCATTCTCAAACCATGTTAAAGAAAACAATGAAGTTTTACTGAGCTACTTTGCTTCTAGACAAAGAAGAATTGCAAAAACACTTACAATAGCATGTTCCTTTGAGAGGGTTTCCCTGGTATCGATTTTCTACCTCACATCTAGGGGGAAGAATGAAGATTATTTTCTATTGTTACATAAAATAGAATCTACATTCATTTCAAAATCGAGCAGCTTCTTTTATAAAAGCTACAGTGTTTGAGTCAGTACAATTACATTCTTCACTGTTACTCAAATCAGGTAGACAAACAAGACTTTGACTCAAATCAGGTAGACAAACAAGACTTTGCATTCATTTTCAATGCTGACTGCCCAGCAGTTCACACCACCAGCAGCCAATAAACATTTGCCAAAGCACGAGATACATCCAAATACAGTAAAATTCAGATCCTATTTATTATCATGAAAAACACATTTTCACTTTTGTATGGACTAAATATTCTTCTAAAAGTGCTTAAAACATTTTTCAAATTGATTTCCCTGTGGTTAGTTACTAAAAAAGTAGTGAGTTTTTATCCATCTTGGAATGTGTGGGTGTGGATGAGACTCTGACAAAGCAAACTGTTTAGACTGTGCCAAAAGATGTAAGTGGCGGCTGAGTGGAAGAATGGCTATCTTACAGTATGTGCTTTTTCACGAGGGCCACCCAGCTCTCTGACTGTTTTTACTACAATAAAATCAGAGCTGTTAATTGGGGGGGGAAACATTTTTCATATGTTCATTTCTCACTTTTCCTACTCTCTCTGGATAAATTGATCTCAAGTCTCTTCTTGAGAGAATGAATAAAATGAGTATGTTTTACGAGGTTTTCTGGTGAGGCAGAGAAAAATTGGGGAACAATCTCTCTTGTTTCAACTCATGAGGACACTAACAACAATTGTCACCAGTCTCACTACTGATGCGTGGGGAAACTGAGACTTGCCTCAAGAGCTCCCTGCTCAGGGGAGGCACAGCCAGGGCTGAAACCCCATACCTGCCTGATGCTGTCTGCATCCTCATGGATGGGGACCTCAAACTCTTCCCTGGAAGGTATCTGACTTACTGAACCAAGGAAGATGCTAGAACATGGAGGGATGTGTCAAAGGCAAGAGGATCAATCACTTTTACTGTTAGACAACCAAAATGCCAAATAAAATCCCACCTTGGAATACCAGCTCTTCTAACTCTGTCTTTTAGGAAAATCTCCTGACATGACAAAACTTGAGTAGTTGCTGAAGTTAAAAGACTAATTCAAGTCAGCAAGCCAGGAAATGCTGGTGTCACTCAAACATAAAAATGTGAATTAAAGAGGCGTGAAGGAATTACCGCTAAACTGATGACCTCCTCAGTATGGAGGGTGACTAAATTAGACCCGTCAGAAGAAGAAAGGGCAAAATTTCTACTCAGTCAACCTGGAAGTCCCTCAGAGCTCATGGAAACAAGGCACAGGGAAGAGGGTGGCTCTTGGGGTTCAGGCAGCTTCAAGGCCCTGTGGCCCTCCCTGGTGAGTGTGGCCTGTGGCAGGAGTCCCGGGAGTGTGGTACTCACAGCTGGCACTCATCCCCCTTGACGCCCTTGGTGGTGCAGAAGCACTTGCCCGTGTTGGTATTGCACAGCGATGCATGCCCATTGCACCTGCACGCTGGGGAGGAGGAAAAGGAACAGAGGATCACATCTGGGTTAAAAGATTACCACTATCAGAGACTTTTCCTAAAACTAATAATTTTATCTGAATTGGATTCAATAGGAAAGCCAGGTTAAAACAAAAGCATTTATTTAGTGGGTAAGACTCTTGTTTTTCAGCTAGTGATTTATCTCAAATAATGTCAAGGCAACATTAAAGGTGACACAGTCACAGGCCAGGAGGAAAGAGAATGCGTGTCAACTGCCATCTGAGGCCTTCGCTCTTTTGATTTTTGCAACAGACTATTCTTCACTGTCACGACTCTTTCATCCATTCAATAAACATTTCTGAAGCATCTCCACTGTGGGCACACAGACACAGTCCTTGTCCCCATGGAGACGCTCTGAGCGGTGACTGCCCTCTAGGGGAGGGCTGGTCTGGCTAAGCTCTGCCTCGCTGAGGTGCCTTCCCTACAATGGCCACATTTCAAATCACACCAGGGCTCAGAGCTGGGGCAGGATTCCAGTGGCAGGTCAGTGTTTCAGAGACACTCGGGGACACACCACCCTTGCCTGCTGTCTTCTTAGCCTTCATAGCAGATGACTCGAGTCATCTCCCTCCTCCAGCCATCAACACGTCCCCACAGTCTTTCACTCAACACATAGTGTGAGCTGTGACACATTTATACTTCAGCTGAAATAAGTGAGTCCTTTTGCTCAACATCTTTTCACTCATAACCTGTTCTTCAGTGAATAAATTAAAAGTATTAGGCTGGAGATAGGTGTACTTTTAAAATAAACCCTGTGGAGAAAAAAAATCACCCCACGACACCTATAAATAGAATAGTGCAGTGGTTAAGAGACTTTATGTGAAGTGAGGAACACGAGGGTTTGGCTCTAAGCTCTGCTGAGAATGCAGAGAGGTGCAGGGTATTAGCAAACGCAAAGGCCTGAAGTCATTCTGACTGGGTTTGAATCCAGGCCCCTCTGCTTAGCTCTCCTGTAATTTTGAGCATGCTACTTAACATGTCTAAGTCAGCTTCCTCATCCATGTAATGGGGATAATAATAACAAAGCCTATCTTGTAGGATTGCTGGGAGGATTAAATGAGATAATACATTAATAAAACATGGTTAAGCATTCAAAAATCATGGCTATTACCTGTAACTTAAGGGCTATACAACTCTAAGGAGAAAACATTAAAGACTTGGTATCTTAAATACCACTCATGGTATTTTTAAAACATGCTTTCTCTTATGGGTTGTGACTGAAAAACAAAGCCAGCTCTAAGTTCTGGACAACTGACTCAGGCCCCTCAAATGGCACAGAGGATGTAATTTTTCTAAGATGACAGCTGCAGATACGGGAATGATGGCATCTGGAGGCACGACCAGGCCCAGGAGTTAAAGTCATGTCCTGGATGTGGTCCTCAGTGTGACCAACTCTCACAGTGAGACCTTGGGCAGGTTACTTAATCTCGGGGATAACAAAAGCAACTACGTCTCAGGTGGTTGCCAGCACAATGCCTTGTACACACTCACCACTCAGTAATGTCAGACACTCTGACTACTATTTAATGGATGAAATCTATTAACAAGGAGTGAAAGAGTATTTTTAGAATAGCTTTTAATCTGAGCAAGAAATTTTATATGAGTGGTGAGAAAGAATATTAGAAGAGTAATAATAATCGCTCACATCTACCGAGTACTGACTACCTGTCATGTGCTGCTGACTGCTTTCATTTCAACAACCAACCTATTATCTCCATTTTACAGATGAGGAAACTGAACCCCAGAGAGATTAAGGGATATTCTGCTAGGATGCTAGCTCTCTCCTGGCTGCTTGGGATCAGATTCTCAAGGGCCATGCTAAGGGGTTTGGAGGTGGGATCTGGGGAGTAGGCAGAGATATTCCTTTCTTAGTTACTTTCCTACTCAGATCTGAAGGATCTTTCTACTGGAAATGAGAACAAACCACAAAGTACTTTATTGGTATCAACTGTCATTTAAAAAAATATAATTTGAGTCCTGAAAATAAAGTGTCCTACTGCTTACAGGAATCTATTTCACAGGTATGGGGAAACAAGGGACTGTTTAAATCTTTAAAAATACTAGAAGTACTGAGGAATCCTGCTCCTGGTTAAAAACCTATGTGTGATTTTTGAGGCTCAACCACAGACAAGGACAAAGGCTTTCCCTGGTGGGTCTCACGGGAAAGCTGCCCTCCAGCCTGGGTGGAAGTCTCTGGGGGGAGCTGAGTCAAGGTCTCAGGCCCCCTGACCAGCCACACTCCTTCACATATTTGCATCCTTAGCTCAGGAGCCTTCATTCCCAGGTCTCTTTACCTGAGGCCTTGGGCAGAGATCTTCAAGCACCTCTGCTGAGCCACCTTGTGGAGGAGAGGGGAACCCTGAAGACACTTTCCTCACCCCCAGTCCTGGGTACCTTTCCACTCCTAGCCCTTTCTCTTCCCCCTCCCTCCCCACCCCTGGGGGTCATAAAAGGCTTTTTCGGGGCCTTTGTTCAGGGCTCCCTTCACAGTGAGCTGATCCCTGATCCACCTGCTGCTCAACCAGCCACCATTCCAGGAGGGCAAATGCAACAAGGAGAGTCAGTGCTTTCTCTAGTTTAAAGCCTCTTGCTTACATCATCACAGTAAGTGATTAAAGGCTTAACACCTTCGTTTCTGACTTTTTGCTCTGACACTTGGCAGCTCTGTTCGCTCTCTCCCAGCTCAGCTGACCTCCTGACAAGTAGAATTTAAGGAATGCAGTATCCAAAACCAAGTGGCTTTTTCCCTCCAAGATATTCAGGTCAAACAGAGACATAGTGTTCCGCCTGGTTTGCAATCAGTAACCCTAAAATATGTGACTTACGTTGACATTTTCCCCCATTGGTGGGATCACCATAGAAGCCAGATATGCAGGTCTCACAGTGCTTGCCCGTGGTCAGGTTCTCACACTTCTCACAGATACTCTGATTGATGCATTTGCTGTGGCCATTACACTGACAAGCTGAAAGAAGGAATTGTCCCATGGTAGAACTGGGTGGACTGAGTTCCACAAGATTTACTTGCAACTATCTGTTTTAGTTCCTTATTGCCTCTAAATACAAAATCATCAAAACTACTAAAAACTAGTTTGAGAAATAAGATCTAAACATCAAAAAAGAACTAGTTCAGGAAAATCAGAAATAGATCACAACAAGGTGAAAGTCTGTAGCCATTAAAAAAAAGTTTTGTTGTTATTCACTATAAAAATAGTATGTTCATGATAGTAAATTTGAAAAATACAAGGAAGGGGAAAAGATCATATACAATTCCACCACCCAGAGATCACTGTCCACATCTGGAATCTTTCCTTCCAGTAATTTTTCTATACAGTTTTACACAGTTGTGCACATATTAATATACAATTTTGATTTTTTAAATATAGATCACAATTATTTTACATTATTTTCTCCATCTTAAGCAAAACTTGAAATGCAAAATGATTTCTATGAATCATAACAGTCATTTAACCACTCCTTTACATTCTGATATTGTTTGCTTTCAATTTTTCATTTTTAGAAAAACACCATGCTTATATATAAACATTTCCATAAATGGAATTGCTAAGACTCCTGATGTATATAGACTTTACAAACAGAAAGGCATATGAAGCCTGGACCTCTCAGGACTGCTCAGGACAGCTGTGCACTGCAGACTCCATGTGGGGCCACTCACTTAGCACATAACTTGTAAGCAGACCTGCCTTTTTTTCTCCTTCGCTCCACTGAGATATAATTGACATATTATGTTGCATAAATTTAAAGTGTACAATGTTTTGCTCTGATACACTTACATACTGCAAAATGATGACCACCATAGCTTTGGCTAACACAAGCATCATGTCACATAATTACCATTTCTTTTTTGTGGTGAAACATTTAAGATCTATTCTTTAAGCAACTTCTGTGGATCTGTCTGGGTTGATCAATGTGATACAGCCTCTGCCTTTGCAGTTTTTGATGGCCTTGCACCTGTTCTGTTTCTCCACCCGTTTTCTATCCCATCCCTGTAGGTATCTGAGTTGCACTAAGCCTGCCAGAGGGACTGTCCCTCCTAGAGGGGACTGCCAAAGTGACTAGATGCACTCTACCAAATGACACCAGAAAATCCAGCAGAGGTTGGGAGCTGGAGCAGGCCTCAGGAGAGTGGTGACAACGGGAAGTACCTCATGACCTGCTCTGCCTGCTCAACAGCTTACCGAGGCATTTGTCAAGGTGTTACAGGAGGAAAGGACCATTCCGCGGGGCGGGCAAAGGAGGAAGGCTGGGGCCGAAAGAAAAAATTAGAGCAATGTCCCCAGTTATCTTCAGGTTGCCATAACACCCCAAGGTGGGGGGGCACTTGGCACAATCACGAATATGCCAAATGCATCCGGGCACCTGGTCTGTCGCTCCCTGCTTCCTCCACTGTGGGAGGAATGCTGAATAAGAATAATATACTTTGTACAGTGAATTTAACAAAATAAGTGGAAGATACATACATTGCAGACTATAAAACATTGTTGAAAGAAAATAAAGAACTAAAGAAACAGAAAGACATTCCATGTTTATAAACTGGAAGGCTTAATCTTGTTAAGATGGTAATACACTCCCAATTGGTCTATAGATTCAGTATTATCTCTATCAAGTATCAGCTGGCTTTTTGAGGTTGTTCCTAAAACCGACAAGTTCATTCTAAAATTCCAATGGAAATGCAAGGAATCCAGAACAGGCATGATAATCTAGAAAAATAAGAACAAAGCTGGAGGACTTAGACTTCCTAATTTCAAAACTTTGTACAGTAATTGAGAAAGTGTGATACTGGCATAAGGACAGACATATAGGTCAGTGGAATAGAAACCAGAGTCTAGAAGTAAGTTCTTATATTCCACTGATTTTCAACAAATGTGCCCCCAAAGTTCAATGGTTAAAAAAATACCCTTTTCAACAAACCGTGCAGGGACAATTCATTAACCACACACACAAGGAGATAAATTTGGACTCCTATCTCACACCATGTACAAAAAATTAACTCAAAATGAATTATGGACCTAAATACAAAGAAATAATTTTATTTCACTTTAAAAACAAAACACAGGCATAAGCCTTTCTGATTCTGGGTTAGTTAGGCACTGATTTCTTAGCTACAATACCAAAAGCACACAGGATAAAAGAAAACACTGATACAATAGACTTATAAAGTTTAAAGTTTTTGTATTTTAAAAGATACCATCAAGACAGTGAAAAAAAAACACACAGAATGGGAGAAATTATTTGTAAATCGTAAATCCAATAAGGAACTTGTAACTAGAATTCATAAAGAACTCTTATGGGTCAATAATAAAAAGACAATGCCATTTATAAGTGGGCAAAGAATTTAAATAGACAGTTCTCCAAAGAAGACATCAAATGGCCAATAAGATGCTCAACTTCATCAGTCATTAGGGAAATGCAAATCAAAACCACAGAGAGGCACCATTTCTCGTACACTAGAACAGCTGCAATCAGACAGACAGACAGACAAGTGCTGATGAGGATGTGGAGAAATCTGAACCATTTTACATTGCTAGTGAGAATGAAAAATGGTACAGCTACTTTGGGAAACCTTGTGCCCACTAGTCCCCATTTCTGCCCCTGGCCCTAGGCAACCACTAATCTATATTTTGTCTCTAAATACTTGCCCTTCTTCAATATTCCATATAAATGATTTCATACAATATACAGTCTTTGCATCTGCGTGGTTTTACATAACATATTTTTGAGGTTCGCCCATGTTACAAAATACATCAGTACTTCATTCCTTATTATTTGCCCAATAGTACTGCACTGTATGAATGTACCACATTTTGTTTATCCACTCTCTGGAGGACAGACATTTGGGTTGTTTCCACTTTTGCCTATTATGAATAAAATTGCTATGAGCATTCAGTATAAGATTTTGTGTGGACATATGTTTTCAGGTCTCTTGGGAATATACTGGGTCATATGACATCTCTATGTTTAACTTTTTGAGGAAATGCCAAATTGTTTTCCAAAGTGGCTATAGCATCTTACATTCCTACCAACAATGTGTGAGGATTCCGATCTCTTCAATGATGCTGAGCATCTTTTCATGTGCTTATTTGAATTTATAGAGTCCTTTACATATTCTGGCCATTAGACTCTCATCAAATACCTGATTTGTAAATATTTTCCTGTATTTTGTGCATTTTCCTTTCACTTGATTTATCTTGCTGTTAGTGGAAAGGCACAGATTTAAATATTTCATTAATTAAGCCACTAGTAGATTAGCAATAGAATTGTAGATCCTTCAAAATATTAGAGAGGAAAAAAGGGAGCAAAAAAACTTTTAATCCAGTTTGGTAGATTAAAAAATGGCTTCTCATTTTATTTTCCATTTCTTGCATTATTTCCTTTTCTGAGAATGATGTTGCATCCTTTGCCCACTTTTTCTGTTAGGGTGACATGCAGCATTTTTTTTTCCCCTGGATGGTGGAGGTTTACATACTTTGGATGATAATCATTTGTTACATACACTACAGTTATTTTCTCAAGAGTCTTATCTCTGGCCTTTCATCTTTGTTTACAGTGGGCCTTCCCCTTACAGAAGTCTTCACAAAGAGCCCTGTCTGACAGGCTCTTGGAGAAGTTCTCATCCACTAACCTCCTGGGAGTCTCTGCACCAGCCTAGCCTCTCCCACCTGTTCTGAAGGCCAGTCAGTACATTCCCGAGTATCTCCTGAAAGTCTGAATCAAAGGCCATTTTCTCAGGGGTGGTTTCTCAGAGCAGCTACCCCAGCAGCTTTAGGCCAGCTCATGGTCTAGTCCTTCTTGCACCAACCACTGGAAGGGACAGAGAGGAGGGAAGGATGGGGGAGAAGGGAAAGAAGGAAGGGAGGGAGGGAGGGAGGGAGGGAGAGGGGAGAGAAAGGAAAAGAGAGGGAAGGAGGGAGAAAGGGAGACAGGCAGGCTGGCTGCATTTTTCCTTTTTTCCTCTAGTCAAAAGGAATAGAGAGCGGTTTCCTTATTCCTTTTCTTAGAGCACTTCATTACGAAAATCTGTATTAAAAAACTTCCTGTTCCTTTGATATGTATATATATGTAAATCTGTTTAAAACCTAAATAAGGCTTAAGTCAGCAACAACGTAGGGATGTTTCTAAGAGCTCAGGAGCCATCTCTTTGAAATGTAAACATCAAGGGATCCAGCCCCCCTTCCCGGTCTCTGTGGGAATCCAGCCAAACCGTAACTACCCGTTTGCCATAGATACAAGTTTTTTCCCCCTTTGGATAAAGGCAATTAATTAACACAGGCAGTCATCCCAACTACCAGGTGAATTCAGAATAAACTAGGAAAAAAATGTAGAGCAAACTGTTAAATCCTCTCACATGAGGACAAGGTATCATCATTTGAGAACATGTATAAAAGGGATTATATATGTTCGGCTGTTTAAAAGAGTGGAATTTCTCTCTGTCTTAGCAATCTCACTAGCGGATTGCTGTGATGTGCACCACAGTCTGGTTTAATGTTTATTCAATAATAAAACCATTTTCTTTCTTCCTTTTCTATATCTGTGAAGAGGAATTTCTGGGATGGCAGATTTTATTTTTAATTTTCCCCCTAACAATTGCCACAATGTATTAAGTAAAAAGCAAACTGCTTTTTAATAATATATATCATATGCATAGTATACAGCATAGTATTTTTTATCTAAAAATATATATCTATGTTAAACTGTTGTAAGTTTTTACCTCTATGAAGTACTGGTGACAAGAGAAATTTCAGTTTTTATTTTATCTACATCTGTAATATTTAATTTTTTATAATGAACATTTCTGTAATGAAAGTAAAACAACTCATTTGAAATCTTTAGGATTTTCATTAGTTGACATTATATCTTTCATATGAACCCATTTCTCCTAAAATGATGTTATATTTTCTTCTTAAAGGAAATCCATATAAATAATGTAGCTTTCAAGGCTTTATTCTTTGTAAATAGGTAGTACAACACTTGACTTTGGATACACAAGACATCTTACCTGGACAATGAATGAAAGACCAGTTGTATCTGCTGTCCTCCAGACACATGCTGGAATTGAGAAGGGGCTGTGGATAGAAATTCCCTGTCTGAGGGGTCTGAGACGGCATCTTCACTGGTCCTTTATAGGAGCCTTCTATGCATTTGCCTTTGCCAGTATTGCTGGGATCAGTACACCAGCCACAGCCTGGTTGCTCCAAACAGTGACTACAGGTACAGTAGCCTGAACAATTTTCAGCTGTACAAAAAAAAAAGAAGTTACAATTCACTATCACATGTAGACTTAAATTCACTGCATTTAAATTATCTTTTTCTTTAACAGACGATTCAACTTCTGTGAGTCAAAACTCCTATTCTACTGTGATTGTTTAAAGGACATAATAAATTTTTAAAGAGCCCAATATTTTGCCCAACATATAATAGGGACTCCTCCCCTCTCAATCCCAAAATGCTGGAGGCAGAAAAGACCTTAGTGATCATTTGCTGGAAAGCACTTACTTTATGAATTAGTAGATTAAGATGTGGCGACACTACATGGGCTAAGCAATATGGTACTGAGTTGGGCAAGTTATTTCTGCACTTGTGATTTCTCCTACGTTTGTTCACTCATGTCATTGTGCTTGATTCTGTATGCAGGTTCACATGAGGCAGTCTCTGGACAGACCTGAGCAGAAGGTCAAGTCTGTTCTCATGCCTAGAATGTTCAGAGGCTGACAGCACTGCCCTACATGCAGGAGTTGTCACTCACACACAGGGCACTCATGAGTGCCTAGAGCTCACTTTGCACTCACGGGGGCAGCTGCTCATGGTATACCACTCCATACACTGGCCAAAAGGGAAGGAGGCCACGTAGGCATTGGAGTCCACGCACTGCTTCATGTTGCTACACCACATGCACTCTGAGCTGCCGCTGGTGCACTCTCCACATGCCGTCCGCAAGGCACACGGTGGCCGGCACTGCTTGGCGCTGTGGTTCGCTGGGAAGTAAACCCAAGAGAGACACTTAGCGCTCCCACCAAGTCAGCTGAGGTCAAAGGCTTTCCAGTGTGGGTTGTGAGCCACTAGTGTGTCACGAAGTCGATTCAGTGGGCTACACTCAATGAAGAATACAGAAAGTACTAGGTCATGATTTACTGTTTGGTCAAGTATATTTAAACACTTGAGGTGAAAAGTGTTTTTCTTTTCAAAGAGTGTTAAGGATTGACATGAGGGAACAAGTTAATCTTCCCATATGAGTAAGAGTTCTAAAGCTCCTTACAATATAGGAGACTCAGGATGAACTTCTGGGGTTTTATAATCCTCCCAAATATGCAAAATTGTATCTTTGTTTATCTGGGGGGAAGAAAACCACAGCATTCATTAAATTCACCAAAGTATTCAGGATCAAAATGGCTGAAAAGCTCCCCTTTTCGGGAAAGTTAGAAATTGTATTTTAAGGTGACTTCCAGAGTGCTATGAATTCTCGTCCACACCTCTGTATTCCTCAGACAAGTTATAGTACCTTCCTAAAATGAGACATGATGTCAGTGGAGTCCAGCCTCCCAAAAAGATCCACAAAATTCCACCTACTGCTTGTGAGTCCTTCAGCAGGAGGAGGGTGCTGGCGGAGGGCTTGCCCACGTGCTGCCTTTACACAGCCTGAGTGCAGCCCAGAGGAGCGCTTCAGGCCTGGGGAGCCACTCCAAGCGCTGCTCCTTCAGCACCTCCCTCCCGCAGCTAGCATGCCAGGTCTGCTTCGGCTGGCTGTCACATAACCAACCGTTCTCATTGTTTTTCTTCCAACTGACATCATCTTTTTGTCCAATGTCCCTGTAGTGGTCACCTAGCTTTTCTGATCTTTTCTCTGCATTTTTTTTCTTTCTTCCACAGCATTTCTCTGCCAACACCAAGAAATTGGCCTTTCAGGGCAATTCTTATTACCTTTTGTTGTCAACAAACCAATCAATCTCACTGGTAATTAGAATATTAGGATCCTTGAGTAGTATTAGTTATTGTTGGTTTTGCTTATGGCTCACGTTGTTCAGAGCCAAAGACCATTTCCTTCTGCTTTAAAAATTCTGGGTTATACTCTGCTTCAAATGTTTGAAATCAATACTCCATCTGTTTTTCATGAAATTCCACAATACTTAACGATGCCTTCTACAGTTTCTCTTTCAACGAACTTCCAATAACACTTAATTCACCCTTACACTTACCAGGCCTTTCACAGACACTACCATTGAGTGGGTTGATGCAGGTTGCAGCCTTTAAGCCCCGAGTACTGGGTTCTGACAAGATTCCACAGAATCCAGCATCACTGGGCTCATGCGGCATCCACTGTAGCAAACTATTGGTGAATGGGGACATATCTTCCCAGCACCAGTAGGACACGTTGATCTTCCGCAGGCCAACCCATGGGGTTAAGGTGAGCTTGGACTATAGGCAAAACAGGCACAGCTATGAATATAATCAACGTCTTGACCAAAACAGGCTTCTAGATAAAAACCATTAAGTTACATATATCCAATAGATACAGGAAAACCTCCCTATCCCAAATCACCCATGGCAGGTGAGTACAGACCATCATTTCTATGTTTACATAGCATGCCTGGCACTTCAACATGGCCATTTTACAAAGGACAGGAATATAGCTCAGAGAAGACATCAAAATTTTCACAGAGATTAATAGCAAAGCAATAGGTGGATATTAGAGATTTAAATTCCAAGGGTTTTAACTCACCATGCTCTGTGATGACTGCATGATTCGCAGCTGCTTAAGGACAAATTCTACCTTCTTCTGGGTTGTAAGAGAAGCCAAAAAGGCATTGTGGTTCCTACAGGATAATTTAGCATTGTCATAATTCTCCTTGGCAGTAGTAATTTTCAAACATGAGTTTCCGACCAAATGCCAGCCAGTGCCACAGATATTTTCTTTTACAAAGAAGGGAGAGAGAAATAAAGAATTTTAGAAATCACATGAAACTACTTATATCACCAGTTTGAATTACCGAAAACCTAAATGGTTTTTGTGATTTGAATTCTAGGTACTTCGTTAGGATGTGGTGAGGGCATCAGACATATTACTAAGGACCAAATAAAGAATACACATAAGAATTTTTAAAATGTTTATCAGTAATATTTCCTAGATCTCAAGATGCATATTTTGAGGTCAATCCTCCTATGTTTTAGAGAAAAATATTTGTTTAGTGCCAGTGTTAAATTTATAAACCTTCTTTTGAAGAACAATTAGAAACAAGGTTAAAATCCTAAGTAAAGAGCAGAAAAACAAACATGGATTATTGGAAAGGTGGATTGGAAAACACCACATCAGCAGATAATGCTTCACTTTCTTTCAAAGGATGATAGAAGTCAATACTTAAAAATCGTCTTTTTGTTAAAAAAAAAATAACAACCACATTAGTGGTGTAGGGGATGAATGGATAAAGTGAGTTTGTCCCCTTTGCGGGTTTCAACCTAGGTAGGCTGCACAGTCTTGAGGGTGTGTGCGTGTGTGTGTGTGAAGTCTTTGGACCCAAACACATCAAGATGCCCCTGCAAGGCTTACCAGGCAGCGCGATGCACTCCTGATTCCGGGGCTCCCACTGACAGTTCTGGTCCAGGGCACAGCTCCTGCAGCTGGTCTTCTTGTTACAGTAGTACATGGGGTTATCCTTGGGACAATTATCATATCTGAAAATGGAGATCTAGAACACAGTGGACAGAAGTTTTCCTCTTAAACTCACAGAGAGATCATGGTAGGAACAAACAGAATACTAAATACAACAAAGTCTAGCTGAGGAAGCAAACTACAGACAGACAGATAGACAAGATGCAAATGAAGCAGCACTACAGTGGGAACACTGTAGTGAAATGTTCCGCTCAGGGACATGCCTTTTACCTGGCAAGGAAGCAGTGCACTCTTTTAAACACCATGCTTCAACCTGCTCATCTGTAAAATGGGGATGTTGAACTTACTGCTTTTTAAACACCTCCCAAACGTGCTAAAAGTTTTATATTTTATAAGCTGCTTACCAGACTGACAAAGAATATCAAAAACTATAAAAGCTGAGTAATCTTTTTTTTCCTTATAATCTAAATCAAAAATCATAAATGCTAAGCATAAATTATGCTGAGCCAAGATACAACATAAAGAGATTTTGCGAAATCTGTGATTTCCACGATTCAGTATGGCTGCTACATCCCCAACTCACTTTCAATCTCAAGTCCTAACTTGCTCCCCAAACCTTGCTTAGGTAGAGGGAGCACACCATTATCAACTCCACACTGAGGATCTAGTACTCAGCCATAACCATACCCAGGGAGCGGGGAGTACTCAAGAGTAATAGTCTCGCCTTCTATAACACCACACATAAATCCTTGTGGCTAGCAGGGCCTCTGGAAATCAGGAAGTATAGAGCATCCCTTCTTAAAAGAAAACTTGAGCAATAATAAAATCCAAATCTACACTGATGGTTTTAAAAATAACTCCAGGCCAGTATTTATACTATACACACTATAATCTACACCTAACTCTACTCAGATTTGTCTATACTCTGAAATCCTTGAGAAACGGCCTCTGACCTGGCCTTCTGTGCAGCTGTGGTTCACAGGGACACAATGGTCGTTGCACCAGTGGCAGTCGTTGGTGTTGGCTGTGCAGCTGTAACAATCCGTGTGCTGGTCACATCGGTCATGGTCAAGAGCTATGTAGAGAAGAAAAACTCATCAACCATGACAGCTTCTCCTAAGAAAAGTCACAGGCCATTACAAATATTTTACAGCTTTTGTTGAGACTAAGACAAAAAAACCAAAGTAACAAGAGCTGGGAAGTAAAATGAGGAGTGAAACTGGCAGGAAAATGTACTGACATGTTCAGGTTAAAATACTATTTAGAAATAAATAAACTGAAGAAAAGCTATTTTGTATTCCATGCCTCCAACAAAAGTACACCGAAAATGAAAAACAAAGATAAGTTAATTTAACTCAACAACGAGATATGACAGAAATAGGTCTGGTTCTTTGAATATTTTTCTTCCAAAGGAAAAAAAATCAACTAGTAATTGAACATCAAGAGCTGCCCAGGAACCGAACAACATAATATAGGAGGACCAAGTCATTCATCCCAGCTATAAATGCAAGGATACTATGGGCACAGGAAGCAGGTGGCACCACAGAACCCCCAAAAAGGCATGAGGCTGAGCTCCATCTTGCACAAATATATGTAAGTCAAAGAACTGGGCTACTACAGACCTGTTTGCTGATCTCCTACTGATCCCAGAAGAGTCAAGGTCAACAACAAAAGAGAATCTGCACCACTGTGTTGCCTCATCTGTTAAACCATTCACGGACATGGCGCGTGGTGGAATCCATGGACTAGAAAAGGCAGGGCTCCCCCTCACAAAGACCCCAGCAACCTGCCTGGTCATCACCCCCTGGACTGGACCCACATACTGGGCCCACAGAGTGAACCAGGGAGGTAATATCTGAGATGAGATCATAGCAACTGGGTTCATAATGAACCATCTAAGGATAATTAAACATTATTTCCTATAAATTTGCACAATTTGAGCTTTTAAAATGTGGTTAAAAACTAACTATTTCACTGATTTTATCCCTTTTAGGAGACAGGTTCTGGTTATTGTGGTTCTCCAGCACTCACTAGACCACCAATGACTTGGAAGGTTCCCCAGGTGTTCTTACTGAGGATTTATGTTCAGCTTAATTTGGAGTGTTCTGTAAGAGTGAAGCTGTCTCTATCCATCATAACGCTCATGGTAACTGCTACATCAAGTTAAGAAATTCAGTCAACAGGCTTTAAATTAACTGAAGTGAAAACATATTTTGCAGAGACATTTTTCTTATGTTCAAAGGTCTTTCTCACATATTACTTCACCATATTTCACTGTGCTGTATGTCAAAGCAAAAGAGTAATAAAAAGCTGAGCAGGCAAGATGAAGACAGCTCAGAAGATAAAAGGGCTCTAGAAGCAGGGATCATGACTCATCCTCAGGAGCTGTCTGCCTTGCTATCACTGCCGTGCCCAACTAGAGAAGCCAGAAAAGAGTAATACTTGACAAAGATAGTAACTACCTCTGCCTACTCCAACATAGCTTTTCTGAACTGACCCTCTTAATCTTATTTCTAATGTTAGAACTGCATAATCCAATATGGTAGCCACTAACCACATGTAGTTTTTAATTCAGATTAATTAACATTAAACAATTCAGTTTTTCAGTTACACGAGTCAATTTCCAAGTATTTGATACATGTGGTTAGGAGCTAACATACTGGGACAGTGCAGATACAGAACATTTCCATCATCACAAAGAAGTCCTACTGGATTGCAGTGCCTCGGAACAACTGCAGCCAGGTTCCGGAGTTGGTGTACAGTCCATGCAATGCTAGAAAGGTTCTGCCTTTATCACAAGCAGATGGCTTCCAGGAGCCACATGGCATGTTCCCAACCATTATAAAGATGTTTATAAACCAATTTTCAAACATTCATAAAGCATTTGCATAAGTTATTACTAAATAATTTGGGATAGTAAAATGAACATAAACAGTACACACAGGATAAGTGCCTCCGTAATTCAGATAAAAAAGAATGAGCTCTCAAATTAATTAAATGTTAAGAAGAGAAAAAACATACATCTTTTGGAAAAACATTCTGATTTTAACTTTTCTTCCTGTGCATCAGTTGCCAACTCCCAGGAGACACACTGAGATGACCCTGTGTCCCATGCACACCGGATGCCAGGTCCTGCTGCCAGACAAGCAGCCTCACTCTGGTGTGCTTCACACTGTTCCGAGGTGAATGCCAGGATGTCACTGAGGAGGAGACTGTTGAAGCCACCAAATACATACATGGTACTAAAAGAAAAAAAAAGGAGAGAAACAGTTTACTAAAAACTTATATAAGCAAAGTCATAATATACCTTTTAACAATTTTTCAGACAAATCTTACATATTGAAAGTCCTTTAAAAATTACTTTTCAAGATCTCAAAAAACATTCTTACAGCCTTACCTCCCAAATTCCAACCTTTCACACTGGCCTGTGGCTACCCAGAGTAGACTACCCAGGAGTACCCACCTACTTCTTACAGCTACGATATTAAAAAGCTCTCATGATAACCTGGTGACTTTTAACCAGGATTCTCTGGAATATTTAAGTGTCAGTATAACCTAACATCTTTTAAAATTACATACATAATCCTACATCTACGTTTTTAAATATTAAAAATAAATCCATACAATTTAAAAGGCATAGATAAAGCCTGTCTAATCAAAACTGTAATGAAAACACAGACCAATAAGAAACAGGTAAAAGTACATATGGAAATTTAGTAAACAGTACAAGTGGCATTTAATTAGTGGGGGAAAGATGGACTTCTCAGTAACTAATACCAAGATAACTAAATAAACATATGGAAAAAGATAAAGTTGAGTCCATTTCTAACTCTCTATACCAGAATAAATTCCAAATGGATCAGAGAACCACCTGAAAAAAAAAAAAAGAAACTATGCAGGCACTAAAAGAAAACATGGATGAACTACTCTATTATCTGAGAGTAGGGGGAAAAAATCCCTCTGATTTAAAATCCAGAAGGTAATAAAAAATATGGAAAATTTTGATTACATAAATTAAAAAGACATTTTGCATAGAAAATAATGTTGCAGGCAAAGTAAAAGACAAATAATACACCATGAAAAAAATTATTTATAAATATGTTACAGGGAAATAAATTTTTAAAAGTTTCTTCTGTATAGCATACTGCCCAAGGCAATCCCTATCAAATTACCCAGGACATTTTTCACAGAACTAGAACAAATCATACTAAAATTTATATGGAATCACAAAAGACCCAGAATTGCCAAAGCATCACAGAAGAAAAAGAATGAAGCTGTAGGAATAACCCTTCCAGACTTCAAACAATACTACAGAGCTATAGTAGTCAAGACAGCATGGTATTGGATTAATCTTTGACAAAGGAGGCAAGAATATTCAATGGAATAAAGACAATCTCAGCAGATGGTGCTGGGAAAACTGGACAGCAGCATGTAAATCAATGAAGTTAGAATATTCTTTCACACCATAAACAAAAATAAACTCAAAATAGCTTAAAGACTTAAACATAAGACAAGACACAATAAATCTCCTAGAAGAAAACATAGGCAAAATGTTATCTCACATACATCTCAGCAATGTTCTCCTAGAGCAGTCTACCCAAGCAATAGAAATAAGGGCAAAAATAAACAAATGGAACCTAATAAAACTTACAAGCTTTTGCACAGCAAAGGAAACTATAAACAAAATGAAAAGACAACCTATGGAACAGGAGAAAATATTTGCAAATGATGCAACTGACAAGAGCTTAATTTCCAGAATATACAAACAGTTCATACAACTCAATAACAAAAAAATAAACAACCCAATCAATAAATGGGCAGAAGATCTAAACCAACATTTCTCCAATGAAGACATACAGATGGCACCTATTATGAAAACAAATATATGTATGTATGTTTATGTATGACTGAAACATTATGCTCTACATCAAAAAATTGACACATTGTAAACTGACTATATTTCAATTAAAAAAGAAAAGACATAAGATGGCCAATAGGCACATGAAAAGATGCTCAGTATCGCTAATTATCAGAAACACAAATCGAAACTGCAATGAGGTATCACCTTACACTGGTCAGAATGGCCATCATTAAGATGTCCACAAACGATAAATGCTGGAGAGGGTGCGGAGAAAAGGAAACCCTCCTACACTGTTGGTGGGAATGTAATTTGGTGCAGCCACTATGGAAAACAATATGGAGATTCCTTAAAGAACTGAAAAAAGACTCACCACATGATCCAACAATCCTAGTCCTAGGCAAAACTCTAACTCAAAAAAATGCATGCACCTCAATGTTCACAGCAGCACTATTTACAATAGTCAAACCACGGAAGCAACCTAAATGTCCTTTGATAGATCTGGATAAAGAAGCTATCACACACAATGGAATACTACTCAGTTATAAAAAAGAATTAAACAAAGCCATTTGCAGCAACATGGATGGACCTAGAGATTACCATACTCAGTGAAGTTAAGTCAGAAAGGGAAAGACAAATACCATGTGATATCATTTACATGTAGAATCTAAAAAAATTGATACAAAATGAATTTATTTATAAAACAGAAATAGACTCACAAACATAGAAAACAAGCTTATCGTTACCAAAGGAGAGAAGAACTGGGGAGAGGGATAAATTAGGAGTTTGGGATTAGCAGATACAAGCTACTCTATATAAAATAGGTAAACAACAAGTTCCTACTATATAGCACAGGCAACTATATTCAGTATCTTATAATAACCTATAATGAAAAAGAATATGAAACCTACATCTCTCTGGTTATATATTCCTTTTATTGGAACAAGACAGTAAATTTGTCTAGCAAAAAAAAAAAGTTACAGGTTTGGTAAGACCTAGAATTTTAAAAGGTGAAGTAGACAACAGAAGAAACAAAATAAGAAAAATTAATAACATGATTAGACTGCTTAACAAATGGAAAATCTGTAAAGCACACTGCAAGGTACAGGTTGAGTGGCCACTCTGGATCTCCCTCACATGACAGGTCTTTCTCCAGGACAGATTTAGGAAGAGATGTGTCAGTCTGGGCCAGACATTTTTGAATGAGGCAATGAAATACAGTGCAGTCCAAAGACTACAGACTTGATCTATATGAAGTATCACAATCTTACCAACTCTCTTCCCATCCCTCATCTGAAGAGCCCTGTCTCCTTTTTTTTTTTTCAAATCTTTCCTCACCACTCAGATAAAACTTCAAGAAACTTGACAACCTAAGCACCACAAACAATAGCAAAAAGCAGCAGGCGTAAGACAGTAACTACACACAACTTTGTTGTCCCACACACTCAGACAATGCCAAACACAGCTTACTCCCGTGTGCCAACAAAACCACATCAACAAACTTGGCATCAGAAGGAATTCAAATCCATATCAAATATTTTCAATATAAATTAGGAAATTCATACCTACACAATCCTGTGAAAAACTAATGGCATGAAGGAATCCTGTGAATAATGTGTAAGTCCAATTCACTTCATATTTTACTTCACTTTCATTTTTAAACACAAGAGAAGAGGAGCAAGCACTTCTCCAATTACCTGTTATATAAGACTGCTGAATGGCCAAACCTGTTGACATCGTGGTGGAGATCAGGTCTGGGAAGCACTGACCATCGGTCACAAGCTAGGAGCAAGAAAAAAACATTTCAGAAGAAACTGTCATGCACAATCAACAGGAGTTGGCATCTTCTTTGGGAAAGAAGACGGCAACAAACACAAATGTGTTTCTCAGTTTTCCTCAGTCACACCATTATTTCTGAGGTAAAACGCAGCAGCAACAGACCGGTGCGCACGGAAGAAAGGTAGGGGACTCCACGGCAATTTCAATTAGTGAATGCACCCAACATCCCACATGACTCTGCACGTGGGCTTCCTTGCCTAAGAAGTTCTGCCTAACTTGGCCCAGACGACTTCCCAGTGTTCCTCAGGACCCCACCTGGGTGGCTCCTCCTCAAGAAGGCCTTTCCTCACCATAACCCTTACCCGCCATGAGTTAAGGGATGCTTACAGGTGCTCTCATACATCATTCTCAGAGCAAGAACACCCTGACATTAATTGCAATCATTCGGTCTGCTCAGTTCTCTGCCTCCCCCACCATGAGGCCAAGGGCTGTAACTTACTCATTTTACTTCTAGATTTCTCTCTGTATATAAGTAACTTTCTCACTGTACAATAAGTAAACATGTAAAATCTTTAAAACTTTTAAGAATTTTGTGCCTATGAACTCAGTGGCTGGTACATAAGTGTCTGTTTAAAAAGAACATCTGATGATATTTATACAAAAGAATTTCTAATATTAGTTTTGCATGAACAAATATTGCCCTCTTCTGGTCAAGTATATTACCACACCAAATTAAAAAAAAATTCCCTTCAAGTACTACATCAAGAATGTGTGAAACTGGTTTCTAGGGAATGAGATAAAGCTACTTAAACGAACTTAGCATGATGCTGGTGGTCACAACTACATAACACTACTCTGTAAGGCTTTCACTTGTAACACAGGAGAGAGCCCACTCACCCCAACTCATCCTCAAAAATTAACATTCGACTAATTAAAAGGACGGACTTCAAAAATAATTTAATAAAGTAATGCTTTTTAACAGAGTACACCACTAGTCAAATTAACATAAAAATACCATCTGGACCTCTTTCAAATGGCTTGACCATTTTTGACTAGCAATATTTTCAGTTTCTTTTAAAATGTTGCTTATACACAAAAAAGATTCTTGAGGCTAAAATAGCTTTGGGAAACTTACCAATGTCATAAGCCATGAAATCTGAAGAGAAGCACTTGGCTCCATGGCTCATGGATGTGTCATTGTGTGTGTTTCCTCCAAACACCAGCATGGTTCCACTCACTATCACAGCTGTGTGCAAGTAACGGAAAAATCGGCTGTCCTTAAGAATGGTCCTTTTGGGTTTATTTAAAAAAAAATAAACACAAGGTTAGTTCTTTAGAATGTTTATCATCTATTTGCTAATATAAGCATAACCATTTTCTTAACTTCAGATCCAAATGTGCAAATACTTCTAGATTTCTCACTGTATATAAGAAACTTTCTCAACAATAAGTAAACCTGTAAAATCTGAAAAATTTGTGCAAATTTTGATAAAACAAATAAAAAGTCTTAAAAATGTTCATACCCTATGACCCTATAATTCTAGTTTCTGAGTAGAAATCATGTGACATACAGAAGGAAGCTTACATACAATGCTTTATTAATAAGATGAAAGCTAGAAATCAAAACTTCCAACTGTACAGGCTCATTATACCCTAACGATGGAGTATTACATAGCCACTAAAAACAACAGTTTTAATGACGATGTAAAATGGTATCCACAGCATGGTCTCATATATGTAAGGAAAGACAAAAATAGAAATCATCGCTTTATAATTACATCATTTCATAACTCAAATTTGCTTTATGTTTATCAAAACTAGCCTATTTTATATAAACCAATATACAGCAGAGTGAGTAGAGCTCTGACTTTCAGGTACTGAAACTACCCCTGTTTGATGACTTCATGGAATGATGCCACTAACTGACCACAATGATAACACCTTGGTCACCAACAAAATGTTAAAAATGGATGTATTCTGCTTAATTACAATAGCGTGCATAAACACAGCTATGTAGAACAATTTATCCCTTAGGATTCTGAAAAGCTAAAATCTTACCATGGTACTAAGTGTATGCAAAATGAAAACCAGTCAAAAAAATACAAAGCATTTTCTAATCAACCTGCTACAAATTTATAGATACTACTTTATTATCTTCTACGTATTTCACAATTTCTCTATTTACAATGCTAAAGAGAATTATCCGCTAGGCCTGAAAACAAAAATGTAGCACAGTATTTTTCCCAGTAATTGCCAGCATTCACACCTTAAAGTGAAAACTCAAGAAAAAGCACCCACCACATCTGGGTGTCCACATCGTATCTGTAGAGATCATCAGCAAGCCGGTATTTGTTGGCGCTGAAAGCCTTGTAGCCTCCATGAACATACAGGGCCCGCGTCTTCTGGTCATAGACACTGCTATGGCCATAGCCCCCTTGGACAAGGGCACCCTGGGTTTGTAATATACTCCATGTGTTCTTATCTGGAAAAGGCAAACAGTTAAAGGCAAACATCGCACACTCCTCCTCTCGAATACTTAAAATTACCAATTAGCTCAGGAAAAGAGAAGAAATTTCAGGAGACTTGATACATGTAACTTTCTTTAATTTTTTTATTTTCGAAGGAAGGCCACCTAAAATTTATAACAAAACCAGGTGGCCAAAAACTTCAATCTTTCAAATGTCCTGATATGCCATGTAGGAAAAGAATTACATTAAGTTTAAAAGACTCAGACCCTCCCTCAACTGAACACTAAATTCCCCATTACCTTTATGGACTAATACACAGATGTACTTTATGGGCCTACATTCTCAAAGTATCATCTACATCCACAAGAACAAATACAGTAAAATTTAACCAAAGGTAAGATTATGTATCAAGGGGAAATTACACTGCATTAAACCAATCTCTAAAGGGCTATCCAAATTTTTTTTTCTTCAGAGTATTTGTTTTTTAAAGCCTTTTTATTTATTTATTTTCAACATCCAAAGCTTTTAGTACAGTCTTTGCCTCCTTACCAAACTGACAGTAAGAAATCTGTACTACATAGCAGCACTAATAATCTAAATTTCACTGGCAACTCATCAATGTTAACTGTATTTCAAGATGAAGTACTGGGTCAATGTTGGGTTGAATACTGTTAAACTTAGGTCATAATAATAAGGGTAAAGGTTTTAAATCCAACATTCAGAAGATTCACTGAAAAAAAATACCTACCCAAGTCATATTCCTGCACACTGCTTATATATCCATAGAGAGGGCAGTGACCAAAGATAACCAGCATGACCACTTGGCCAGTTTTCAAAGTGACAATGTGTGCCGAGTGCCCGACCACTGCATATTGCTCCTTTGCTTTAGGGGCCAACAAGACCCATGACTCATTATGAATATGAAACACTCTCAACTCATTGGTCACATTCCCCGTTGAATCAATTTTTCCTCCATACATATAAATTTTATCCTAGAAAAAAAATGTAAACAAAATTCTAAAAAACATCAAAAGGATCAAAACTAAGAACAGAGAACAGTTCAAAACCTCAGTATTACTCTTAGCTTAAAAAGTGTTAGTGAAAAGCACCTTTCAGTAAATTACTAGAAGGATGGAGAAAGGAACAAAATAAAATAAATCATATCCTATGTCTCTAACACTTTACCACTTTTCTTGGACTTTGTCATGCAAGATTTTTTACAATATAAAATGACTTGGAAAAATAAAGTTGAAATAAACTACCAAATAAGGAAATGATAATAATTATTCAGTTATATTGTAATATGGCTATTCTTGGCTAAACTTGCTCATGAACATAAAAGGCTAATCTGTATTATATTAATTTTTAACCATTTAGTACCACAATCTATCCCAGTACAATGTGAATCCATTAAAATCTCTCAGGTTAAAGTATTTTCAATTTTAATTTCCACTTAGAACTTAGCCACTCATATACCTCCTAAATGAGAAAGTTTTCCAACCAAAATCAACACTGAAGTCAAAATCAGAGACAGAAAGTAGAATGGTGGTTGCCAGGGCCTGGGGAGAGGAGGGGGCGGGGAATTATTATTTAATGGATATAGAGTTGCAGTTTACAAGATTAAGAGATACACAGATGACTGGTGATTACAACTGCACGTTATGAATGAATTTTTTATCACTGAAGTGTACACTTAAAAATAGCTACTAACATGGTAAATTTGATGTCACATGTATTTTACCACAATAAAAAAAAGATTAGGAAAAAAATCCAACACTGAATAGTTTTTCAACCACATAATATGGTAAAGAAACTGTGGAAGAGTTGAGTTTCTAGTTTAGTACAGAGTGGAGACATTTTACCTTGTATAATGCTAAAGAATGTCCATATCTAACAACCACATTGTTCACAGAACGGTTCAGTGTAAGCCACTCTCTAGAAGCAAGGTCATACCTACAAAACAAACAGATCATATTTTACCCAAAGGACAAAACAGAACATCTTGAGCCTTTACTTGTGATGTAATCCAGTTTGGAGATGCTCACTAAACCTGTAATGGATATGGGGAGGTACCTGGGCAAACAAACTTAACACCTGGCCCCACTGGGCATGTAAGTACTTAGGAAGGGGATGCTGGGCTGTACAGCCCTGGGACGAAAAAGAAATAAAATCTACTGGAAGTTTCTAACACTTCCTCAAAACATCTTCTACACACTAAATCACTTGCAGGTTGCACTATACTCAAGGTATAACCACAACTTTTCTTTCCTTTAATCATGCAAAATTTAAGACACGTACTAAAAAAGGAACGGTAACTCAGTTTTAAAAAATTCCTAGCCTTTCCTTTTCTTTATCTAATTGATTTTAAAAAGTAATATTAAAAAAAAAACCCCTAGAATATCATCATGGCATTTCAATTATACTATGAGTGCATTTAAAGACAATTAAAATATAAAAAATGCCCCAAAGAAAATCATTTATAGTCTACATTGCAGCATTAATCACATTCAGTCTTAGAATATTCACTTTGTTTTTGAGGAACATACTCTACTGTTTTCATTAAAATTATACATACTCATTATGAAAAATGTAACCAATGCAAAAAAATAAAGAGCTAAAAACTTAAAAATGACCCACAGTCTGCCACTTAGAAATGAATATCATTAACAACAAATAAACATCATTCCAGACATTTTTCTATGCATACATACAGACAGAAGAATAGATTGATAATATATATATTTATACAAAGGAGATCATAATGTAGATGATACATTTAACTAAGTGTAATTTTAATTTTTATATAATTTAACAGAAAAAAGAAACCAAAGGGAAATCAATGCTATTATTATACTTTAAATGTTCGTATTTTTATAAGTTTTCCTGAATACTTTTTAAAATTATTAAAAACATTATTATATGTAAACAAGATATAAAAGTTTTATCACAACGTAATAGCAAAAAAGAGAAACCCATAATAGTCCATCAACAGAAAATGGATTAATAAATTATCCAGTGTATCTGTATAATATTTATACAAAATGAAAAATAAATACACTAAAGCAATATATTAATATAAATCTCAAAACAATGTTAAGCTAAAAAAGCCAACTGCAGAATATTGTTTCTATAAAGACTAAAACTAGAAAATTCATGAATTCTAGATGTTTATATATATTAAAAGGTGTATAAAACATTGTAAACTGACTATATCTCAATAAAAATATATAAATAAATTTAAAAATGTAAAGATATACATGTGAACCAATAACACAACATCAAGATACTGATTATTTCTGGGATTTTGGAGGGGCATCCAGGGGCCTTAACTATATTAGCAATGTTCTTTATCTCCTAACCTGGATGATGAATGCACCAGCATTCATTATTTTCCTCTAAACCTTTCCTTTAGTCTTAAATATTTTATACATGATCTGAAGCAAATATAACAAAATGGTAACATAAATCAGTACCAGCTATTGTTTTATATATTTTTGAAGTCTACATTTTTAATACATGAAAAAAATGGCGATTAAATTCACTTTAATTTTAAAATTATATATAATTTAATTTTGGACACACAGACTCCACTAACTTCCTGGTTTGAATGTGAAAACCTTAGCACCCACAGTCCTCTCATTTCTCCTCCCAATTTTTGTTATATAATTTTTACACTGTCCAGGTTCATAGCATTCACATTCTCTCCTGTACCTATAATCCCATAGTTACTTACTACTGATCCATATTTTAGTTGAATCAATCTCCTCACAGTTCTCTTACCACAACTTCTTGAGTCTTTTTAATTCTTAATTAGCTGGATTTCACTGTCAAGTGGTTTTTCCTAGTGGAGCTCGTATGTGCTCCTTTCCTGAAATTCTTTTAAGAATATCTGCTTGGTAGCTTTAGAGCTGAGTGACATCTTGGCTGGGCATACTATTCACAGGCCATCCTTTCTTTTCCACACAACTTTACTGATGCTGCTCCCTTGAATGTTGCTGGTATCAAACGCTGCTAATGGAGAGGTCTGAGGCCAGTCTGATTTTTTTCCATGTTTATGTGGTTTGCTTTTCTGCTTGGAAGCCTAAGAAATCTCAGTCATTCTCATTCTCTCCTCCCCCTCCCTCCCTATTCCCTACCTCCCTCTTTCTCTAAATATATGTTTTATATATATCTTTCTCTATTTTTTAAAGACACAATATTGTACTTTACTTCAGGTAGAAATAACTTAAATCCGTCCAAATGTTTTTACCAAATGGACTGCATACCACTGTGACTTTTGTGGTGCTTTGGCTGTGGAAAGTGTTCCCTGAGAAGAACTAGCATGCCTTCTGAAAACACATATAAACCTTCTGCTCACATCAGAAACCTGTTTCTTTAAGCTTGAAAGAGAGGGAGCAAAGAAACAAGTCTGCATGTGATCCAATCCATATCTCTTTCAAGTGACATGGAAGGTGCTCAATATGTATCTTAATGCATTTTAACTCTTCCTCAGTCAATGACATGTCAGCCCAAGAACTGGTCAGAGACACTAAGGTGCTAGTAAGTCCTCATAACCTGGCTAAGGTGAACTGCCAAAAGACACGTACATAATAGGCTGTCACTCCCTTCACAACACAGAGAGGCAAACACAAGGCAAGAACAAAGCTAAAGCAATAAAAGGTAAGAAAGGCCAAGTACCAAATAAATGCTCCCTCTTCTGGGAGCTGAGTTCAAGATGATGGAATACTGAACAACTAGTTCTAAGACCTGGACATGCAGACAAGCAAAGAAAAACTTCAAGAATTCAGAAATAGGTGTCTCTCATAGAGGTGCAGCCATGTCTTTCCTCCTCCTTGATGGCTGCTAACACAATGTCCATCATGATACAGGGCACACGCTCTGCCACGCATAGTGGCCTGGTATTCCAATCAGTGTCCAGCCATCCAAAGACACACAGGAAAGGCTCTGTAGAGACTGAACATGACTCCACACAGGAGGAGGCACAGAGCTACCTGGGGCTTCCTACCCAATAACTTGTCCTAAAAGTTCAATAATTTGATCAAATCAGGTCTTATTATCGAGCAACTATAAACTTTTCCTGAAATGTCTTGTACTGTTTCAATCTACTTGTAGCAATTATCTATATACACTGGATCTTCTGTCTTCCATGTGTCTTTGCTTTTCTCTTATTGACCTTTTCATCTGTATTCATTGGAATCATGTCTATTAAGCTGTCAGAAATTCGATTTTCATACTAGTTTTTGCTGTATGTAATTTATTCATATTTATTTACATGTGTAATTTCCCATTTCATCATATTGTTATTATTACCTTCTTCCCTTTCAGCTGGTTTTTCTGAATTCAAATTTTCATTAAACTGATCTATTGCAGAAAGCAGTCAGAAGCAATCTCCTGCTCCTTAACTTACTTTTCCTCTATGAATAGTTCTTAGCGGTCAGACCAGGTAGGACCATTAAATCAAATGGGAAGTCACTGATGCGTTTTAAGAAGGTAGGAAATGATAAGGTGAGGTTTATATGCTGTGTTCTTTTGTCCTCTCTAGTTTTTCACCACAGATACCTGCATTTGCTACAATGTCACTTCTTTCATCTTGCTGTGGTTAGACATTGCTTTCCAGATATATTTGCAAAATGTGGGTGATTTTTTAGCTCTTTTTCCACCTTATCTAAGACAAGTTTATCTTTCCATCCCAGCTTTAGTATGAGAGTTGGCATTTTACGTTCCATCCACTTCTCTGAAGTCTGGAGAAATGTTGGGGCTCAGAAGGGTTGTGTGTGCGCTCAGTCTATTAGAATAAAATATCCAGACTCTATTTGCCTCTGAGATTTTCTTTGTGTCCTATCCCAGGGTTCAAAATTTGGGATATACAAATTAAATAGAAGCCCTGACTTATGGGCTGTGTGTCAATCACTTGATCAAATTCCCCCCTTTTCACCTGATCCTCTTCAGCAACTATTTCTCCTACTCTTTAGTTAAAAGGCTTTTATAAAACAACACAAAACCCATTCAGTTTGCTTCTTTCTAGATTTGGGGCTTTTAGGGAGAACTCTCAGAATTTCACCTGTATGGTTTCTATGTCGTAGAGAAGGGGTCAGTCTTGCTGTTTCTGTGTCTGTTTTAATTTTAAGTTTACTGGGTTAGGTGATGCTCCTTATCTTGTTGCTCAATTTCTTACTATTTCTTTTAACTTAAAAAAAAAAAAACCAAAAAACCCTTTTTTGCTCAAGGGAAATTCAATGATGAAGTTTCAATTGGAAATCTTAACCCAAGAGAACACCACCATTTGTTTTGCAAGAGAACCCTTGAGTGACATAAAATGGGAACTGCTTTTTAATGCAACTTAAAAGCTCTGGGTTAACAGGGTTGTAGAGAATATAAAAATTAGCACAATTCCTGAAATACGCTTATATAGAGTAGAGATGATGATAAAATTTGTAGTCTAAGTTTCAGAAATACTTCATCTAAAAGGGGTCATTATATTTACTTTTCATGAGTTAGTAAAAAATTTTGAAGCTTTATTAGTATTTACACAAAATATATAAAGCTATAAAAATCATGCTTTGATCAAGTCCAAGCAGAAAAAAAATGTTACAATCTAAAAAACAAATGTGGATCATGAGGTATACCAGTCAAATAAAAGCAATCGGTGACATTAATATTTCTAAGAACAAATGTTTGTGAAGGAAACAGACAATTCAGTTACTCTCTCAATCATTTGATAAATACTTATTTGAGCACATTTTGTGAGCTAAGCTGAAATGAGTGAGTAAACAAGGTCTCTAACCTTGGAGAACGTCATGGAAAAGGCAGAGAATGAGGACGCACAACAATGGGCACAGGCAGAATTAAAAATTATGAACACTGCTCTGAAGGAAATGAGGACTGTGAAAAAGGACAGGGAGAATCGTCTGTCCTGGATGATCAGGGAGGATCTCACTGTGGGACAGTTAACTGATGTGATATGTTGAGGGTGAGAAAAAAACAGCCCTGAGGTACAACGGCAGGAACAGTCTAGACGGAGGGCACAGCAAGAGTAAGGACACTGACGGTGAGGATTAGGTAAAGAAAAAAGGCTGCTGGGGCGAGAGGAGGACGGTAAGAGTCTGGGAGGTCAGCAGCGGGCAGAACAGGTAGGACCATTAAGTCCAGCAGGAAGTCACTGATGCGTTTTAAGAAGGTAGTAAATGATAAAATGTATACCTTAAAAAAATCATCCCAGTTGACACTTAGGAAATGGATTAAGAGGAATGAATGGAAAAAGACTTGATAGGAACCTACTGTTGAAGTCTAGAGGAGAGATATTGGCAGGTTGGTCTTAGAGAGAAAAGAGTGAATCTGACATGTATTTGGTGACAGGGTTGATGGGCTTGATATGAAATTATGTTATGAGAGACAAAGTAGAGGAAGTATCAAAATGACCCCCAGATTTCTTGCTTCAAGGGAGGAAAATGCCAGGTACAAGGGTAAAAATCACATAAATGGTACAATAAATGACTCTCATCATATCTAGTTTGACAGTTGGAAGGGTCACTTTCACACCTTTAATTTTACCTTTACTTCTCAGGGCAGGAGCACTAGAAGTAGTGAGAAGTGGTTTGATTGGGGATAGATTTTAAAGGCAGAGCTAACAAGATCTGCTGACATATTGTGGCAGACAGACATCATGGTGGTCCCCATGACCCCTGCCTCCTGGTGTTCCTACCTATGTATATAATAGCCTCCCTTCAAGTATGAGCAGGATCTATGACTTGCTTCTAACCGAGAGAATGCCATCTTTACCACCAAAGATGATAAGATGTCATGGAAATTCTATCCTGATGGCAGATTCAGTCCAGATTCTCTTCTTCTGACCTGCCAGCCACACTGGGGAAGCTGTAGTGATAAGGAACAGGTGGCCTCCAGGTGACAGCCCACACAAAGTCAGCGCCCTCAGTCCTACAACCACCAGGAAATGGATTCTGCCAACAACCTGAGCTTGGAGTGGATTCCTCCCCAGGTAACTCTCTAAATGAGAACAAAGGACAGGTGACACCTAGCAAGACTACCTTTTTCTTCAAAGTTTTCTCACGTTTGATTTATTTATAATGTCCAGAGTTTTTAACTTCACTTATCACACAAAGGATAGAGGAAAATGACCTTCATTTCTTTATGATTTTTAAAAATCTCCTTTTTCATACTCTATTTTTAAAGGAGTATCTGTTTATTTACTCTGTGTGCCTTCTAGGTTTGTCTTCAATTATGAAGTTATTTTAAAATTCCTTCCTAACTTCTTTCATCTCATTTCTGAATTTTTCTAGTTCTGGTTACACTGTTCTTTCATGTCTTTTATCATTTTTTCCTTATTGTATTTTAGCTTATTTTGGAAGACTAAGTTATAATTTTTGTCAGTTTTGTGAAATTATTTTTCTGTTTTCATGCATTAAGGAATGTTATTCTACTTATTTTCTTCTTTTTTGTAATGACTTTCTATGAGATTTGACTTTGATATTTTTCTGTTGCTAAAGTTTAAGTAAAATTACTTTTTCCTGAGCTCTTTTATAGGAAAGGCTTGACTTAACACAGTTTTTCTAATTTCTCAGCTCTCTACTAGCTCCTCTTCTGCTGTTGTACTATAGTGTCCAAGTATCCGGCAGCTTGCTTGTTGAGATCTCCTGGCTCTGTTCCCCTCCCTCACTGATACCTGGAGTTTCTTTTGCTTTTCCTCTGCTGTCCCTGTCCTGTCCAATTTGAATTCTATTCCCAGCAGTTCCTCCTTAGTGTGGGACTTTCTCCTACAAAGAGACCTTGGCTGGTTCATTTTGAGATTTAATAAGGCACAAACTGCTCTAGCCCCTTCAAATCCTACTACAGATGCCTTAAACTCACACCCCCAGCCCCCGACTATGTGCAAAATCTTCCCAGTCCCAGCTACTATTCTCAAAGCAGCTTGCCAAGCTTTCCAGCAGGTCTTTGGGTTTACTGTTGGTGGGCGCGCTTACTCCTACACAGATGCTGATATAGCACGAGTCCTGTATCTGTCAGTGGTTCAGCCCCACACATAAGTGTAGATGCCTTCTGAGCAAGTTTTCTTATAGATGCTATCCATGTGTTTTTTATTTTGCTATCTTAGTTGTTCTGAGTGTTTTGCTGACTATATTTGGGGGATTCAAAAACTATGCTACCACTGCCATATTTCCAAAATTCCTTAAAGAACAGATGCTGGGTTTTGACAACCTTCATTAACAGAAAATGTCAAAAAAAATTTCCAGGACACAAAATCAGTACAAGTAAGTGTTCATGAATTTCTCCCCAAAGTCAATCTCCATAGCTAATGCCACTGTGAAAACATTTCTCCCTTTAGGATGAGTGCTGTGGGACCAGCAAATAGAACTTGAACCCTGTAAAGTATCAGATAATGGCATAATTTCCACTAGCAAACTGTAAATTCAAACCACTTAACCTATAGAAATGTTACTTAAATTAACAGGTAAAGGAATCCTCTACTTATATATAATCTATTATATGTACCTAAAGCAAAATATGAGAGACAGTGTCTGGAGAAGAGGAACTATTCCTTATTATGACAATGAATTCTTCGTGGCTCCCAATTTCGAAAACTAAGACTATGTTCCAAAAGTCTGGAATACAACTACCAACATACTAACATACTAACAGAGATTTTCCTCAGGAATGGAATTACTGATGATTTCTTTTTCTTTTGCTATCTCTACTTTAAGTATTTCCAAAATGGAAAACTAGGCTTATTGAAAAAAATGTTTAAAACAACTTACGCTAGAACCATGTTGTAATCTGAGTGGTTGAACATATATCCTCCAACAACCCACATTATATTTCCATTGATCACAGCTTTGTGAGAGGCTCTGGGAAGCTTTTGGTTAGAAAATTCCTCTCGAGTCCAAAATGACTGGTTAGCTGGTACAGGAACTGAACATTCAGGACCTAATAAAACATAATAAATTAGCTTCACAAAATGCAGCTTTAAATTCACTGCATTTCAAGTTTTAATCATCTAAATACAACAAATATCTAAAGAATAGTTATAGTCTTTCTTTTAGCATCTAAATAGCAGGCAAATCTCTACCAAGCTAGTGACCATGGGTACTCTCAAATAAAATTTAAAATCCCATACTTTCTAATGCTGACCTGACCGTATCTAGGTTAGGATTTTTTAGTAATGAAATACTTGCTTAAGCAGCTCTCAGAGGAAAGAGAGGTCAAAGGAATTATTAATTCAAATGAACAGCTTTAGGGCTAAAATGTAAAGACTAGTACCGGGAGTATTACAAACTATCCATTTCCTGGAAAAACAAGAAAGTCCATTCTTAGGAGATCTGGCTTCTGCTCCAACACCTGCGCAGTGGTAGGTACTCAAATACTTCAATTATTTAACTCTTTAATATGAGCCAAACCAAACAAATCAAAGCATTGAAATAAGCACATTTCCTTTCAAAGTTAAATGTTCTGAGAAAGAGGTAAATGTATAAAGAAAATGACTAAATCAGTAACAGCTATTATCACCCACCCCTTGAAAAATTCACTAAAGGGCTTCTTTAATAATCTGTATCTGCAGGTAATTCCATTAGCTGACTGTTTTAGAATTCTACTGTATAATCCACCCCAGTTTTCTCTGAATTTACTGAAAGTTTCTGTTGCGAGACCAATACTGTTAGCTCTTATCATGTTGATCACCAGGTCACCCAAATCTAGGTGACAGTTGTGTTTCCTCAGGGGCACTCAATCCACAGTGGGTGATCAACGTGTTATCCCACCCCCCAGCTTGGTTCTCTGCTCTGTCTTCAGATGGTTGAGACCAAGTTCTTCAAATTTGTGAGTGAATTGCAAAGGATGTCAAACCCCTCCACAATTCTAAAGCGATCCCAACCATACATCCATGAAATTCAAAGACTTGTAAGAAGCTAAATAAAGAGTTATGAAAACTTAAACATTTCCTGATATTTGATTAACACAAATGGTACAGATTCTAGAAATAAGGCCAATCTACAATTTATTAAACTAGAAACAGTCTGTTAATTGCAAGAAAAAAAGACACTCCTACCCTGCCACTCTGAGAAGCAGGAGCATCCTCTGACATCACTCGAATTGCAGATGCCTCGATGAGGAAAACCACAGTTATTTACACAGTGAGGAATGTCACATGCTTCACCTTTCCAGTTTTCAGAACAGTCACACTGAACAGTGTTGCTGTTATTACTGATCTTACATTCTCCACGGCCTGAGCAATTATTCGGACACATGTCAAAACTATAAAAATAGTGGGGGGAAAAAACCAATCAACACAAAGCAACACTTCAATTAATTCAGCAGAACTTCTTCCTACACAAGTCTTAAGAAATCCCACTGTCTCTCCAGTTCATTCACAAGCATAATTGCAGTACTTACCATTCAGCCTAAATGGGGTCATTCAACACTGCAGAGCTAGGGCAAGTAATAAAATCAAATTAACCCTGTTGAATTCTCATAAGAAAAGCAAGTTAAAGAAATTACAAGGAGAGAACAGATTTCTTGCAAAATGCTTAACTTCATAAGGACAGGATGACTATCCTATTCCTGGTAGCCCACAAATGATGAGCACTATAAAACTGCCAAGTGCATGCTTGCAAGTCTGGAGAAGAAAAGGATAAAACAAATTGCCAACAATATCCTACCATCCTCATGGTATATATTCCTCTGGATAGTCTCTGAAAGTTTACAGAATTTGTTCAAGATTATTGCTCAGGTTGGTGTATTCTAATTTTTTTAGTAAGTTTATCTACCCATCTCAGATATAAGAAAAGAGAGGGCCAATTTAACTTACTATGGGAGTTTAGCCATAAAGTGTCTCACAGTAATGTGACCTAATTATATTGACAGCACTTTGAAAAAATATAATTAAGATTTTAAAATGGGGGATAACAGGATTATCAAGACACTTTAAGAGTATAAAGAAAACTAAAAAGAAATATTGTAGCAAATCATGTCAGAAAATCAGGAGTCAGTTCCGAAAACAAGCTAATTAATGGATGTTAATGAATATGCCTACATTCAAATATCAGTTCATGATATTATAGAAAGAAAGAAAGAAAGAAAGAAAGAAAGAAAGAAAGAAAGAAAGAAAGAAAGAAAATGTTATATAAATAAATATGCGATAAATAAAATGTTATAAGTATCTGTAAACAGTATTTTTATAATCTGTTATAATAAATGCATATGCCCACTTTTCAAGCCGAGGCTGCCACGTCACAAACCCTGAGTACCTGAAAAACAGAATCACTATACCAAGATAGAGACAGCTTTAAACAGGCATGAGACAATACTGAGAGCCTGAGAAAAAGGGCAAGAAAAAGAATCCAATATAACGATTACACATAGGGGTTACTACCTGTTCCAGGAGTTAAGAAACTTACTGTGTAAAAGGCCAGATAATGTCTATTTTAGGTTTGTGGACCACAGAAGTTCTTTATCAAAGACCCCTTGCTTATGGCACTTTATGAATTTAATTACTTATGAAATACACATTTCTTAGGAGGGAAAAAAAGGAAAAGACAGAAGTTAGCCTCTCTCCTACCACAACAAATTACAAAAGCTGCCCAGAGTCTGTCAGTCTACACTTCCTTTGTACCTTCAGCTAAGTTGTCATCAATGGGCCAACTACTGAGTACATGAAAACTACTAATATTTGTTAAATTGTACTGAGCAAACCCCTGCAATGCTTTTATCCACTAGAGGGAAAATGCCCCTCTCTTCCGGGAGAAGCTCAACAGCAGCAAGACCTGGGTTGAAACTGTGCTTCCACCACTTTGACAATTTACTCTACCTTTTCCCACCAGTGTCCTCCATTATAAAAGAAGCAGGAAACCAGTGCCTGTACCTAAGTTTTTAAAAGAACTTTAAATTAGAAAATGCATGAAACCTGCTTAGCATAGTGCCTGGTGCACTGTAAACCCTCAATATAGGTTAGTCATTACTGTTGTTAAAACACAGTATACAGTCTTCTGGAAAAAAAATCACAAATATTAGAGTTAAATATCTTACTTGTAAGTGATATTAAATCCAGTCAAATTATAAGCAGCATCACTAAAAAAATGCAGCAGGGCATAACCTGATGTGGCAACGACTTCAGGGACAGTCTCGTTGCCGTCTCTCTCAGGGACAATGAGGCCACTGTAATGAAAACACATTTCTTATAAAGGGAAGCACCATCACAGACACATCACATGGTGGCGGACACAAATTCAACTGGAATTCTTCCTTATAAATTAAAAAACCACTTCTAAGAAGAGGGGCAAATTCCCATGATAAATGCACAGGAACAGATCTGAATGTTTTGCTAGGCTCTCCTCTATTCTGGGTTGTTATTTCGAATGAGATTGAAATCAATGACCCTATTCTTCTTTTTTAATAAACTTTTTATAATCCTCCTCTGAAAAAATGAGTAAACTTCCACAATCACAGAAAGTAACAAACTTTATGAGTAATAGATACCATATACATATCACTGAAAGACATAAAAAGTAAAAATAGAAATAAAAGTTTGATATACAAAAATCCATCACCCCAACACTATTAGTATTCTGATGTATTTTCTTTGTCTAACTGATACCATATTATGTCTTACAATATTTTACAAGTAATACACCATAAGCATTTCTATATCACTAAAAGCTCCCTCCAAACTTTTAGAACCTCATTCAGAGCTCAGCTGACAGTAGTAACTTTGGGTGCCAGGAATGAGAAAGAATTACCAGATCAAAGGGTCTAAAAGATGGTCTTAATCCATATGCCAACTTGCTTTCTAGAAGAGACATGCTGACTTGAAATCCCACCAATAGAGAATGAAAGGGTCCATCCCACCTCTCCCTGCCAACAAGGGTTACCAGTTCTATTTTAGCTTTCCTAATTTAATGGGTGAATGATTTTTCAAACTGTGGTTTTAAGTTTCTTTTCTACTCCTGAGGTTAATCATTTTTCCCATGTTTACTTGCCTCTTTTGCTTTTCTTCATACGCTCATGTCTTTTTACCCAATGACTGATTCACTACCACCATTTCATTCAATAAAAGCCTAAATCCTTACCAGGCCCTGCACACTCTGTTCCAGACACACAACCCCACCTAATGAAGAAACAGCTCATCTATTACAGATGGTCCTTGACTTATGATAGTTGTACATAGTTTTTCAACTGTACAGTGGTGCAAAAGTGACATGCATTCAGCAGAAACCATACTTATTTTGAATTTTGAGCCTTTCCCAGGCTAGTGACAGGCTGTAGGATACTCTCCTGGGATGCTGGGCAGCAGCAGAGAACTGCGGCTCCCAGTCAGTCACACACTCACAAAGGTAAAAGATGCCCTTCTAACCACTCTGTACCCAGACAACCACTGTGTTTTTCACTTTCAGTACAGTACTCAATAAATTACATGAGATAGTCAACATTAATTATAAAATAGGCTTTATGTTAGATGATTTTGCCCAACCATAGGCTAATGTGTAGAATGAATGGCAGAATGGGTGAAGGGAGAAAGGATGACGGGAGGGCTATCTGCACTAGATGACCTCGCTGCTGGAGAAAAGGGACCAGCTTCCCTGCTGTCAGAGAGACTCAGGCGTTTGCTTCTTTTCACTTCAAAAACTTGGAATCGTGACAGCTTTAGAATGTGCTGCTTTTCCCCAGTGTGAGAATAAAACAACTGGTTTATGACAAAAATAAACGTTTACAGAATAAATGAATACAAACACAGACTCAACCCAGTGTGCAAGGCAATGGAAAGTGTGTGGGTGAGAAAATGATGCAGCAGGCAGGCCGTTCAACTGTCACCCTGAGCCACCTCCCGCTTCCCCATCCCCTGCCCCTGGGAAGCTAAAAAAACGGAGGCTTAGCTTAGGCTGCAGCCAGTTGTTCAACTTGAGAAAATCAAGAACTGCTTGCCCTGGGGTTCTTCATAATCTTATATTTTAAATACTGAGTACCACTGTTTAGAACCACTTTTGAAAATTGCTGAACTAAACATATTGTCTTAATTCAACATAACTGTCAGACTGCCCATAACTGACTATGGGCTCTCTGAACACACCTGGGGCAGAACCTGACTTTGCCAACTACGCTATATAAGTTTACTAGTAATCCTTGGTTTGACACACCTGTCTTCTTGCAAAACTATACACTCAAAGGCAGGCAGATGTGGAAGGTAAGCCAGATCCTTAAAAACAGGGGTAGGAGCCTGGGGACGGAGCTAGGACTAGCACACAAGTGATAGGACTCCAGAAAGAGTACTTTTTCCATGAAGCAAACGTACTAAGTGACAACAGAGGCGAATCTAGTAAGAATGCAGTCTAGGAGACACAACTGAATTCAGAAATCAAATGATGATTAACCAGTACTTATATGACTGAGCTTACCTAAAGGCAGCAACTAGGGGTGCATAAATTGAGTCCCCATCATAAACGTATAAATGGTCCCAACTACATTCTGTAGCAAAATGATTGAAACGAAGTCTCATTATTCTATTTGGCCTGAAAAGAAAAGAAAAAGTAAATTTTAATAATCATCACTATCCAACATCTGAGGAAAAAACAGACAGATTTTTAAAAAATTTACAGAGATAGAAGAAATCAATAGTACATAATCAGTATTCTTTCATTTGTCAAAGATTTCCTCGGTACCTACTATGTGCAAGAGACCACGAAACACAATGGTAAATCAGACAGACATGGTCTGTACAGCTTTGGGCCTTACAGTCTATACACTGGCCATTCTTTACCAAACCATTAGCCTTTCCACACTTCCTTCCTTATTCAACCTGAGATTCCATACTATGAAATACATACATCATTTCACAAACACACCTGCCAATCCTCTAAACTCACCTGCCCCTCTGCCTTTTCATGGAACTCCTTAGAAAAAGCCCTGGTCTAGAGGGAACCAGTTATCTGCTTTGACTTAGGCTGAATCCAAAGAAAACTAAGTCATACTGGAGAAAGTCACACCACTGGGTAGGCTGGTTCCAGGATTCGTCACTGCTCGCTGACTTCAAATGGCACTTCGATTCTGCCAGCAGTTCTACTACTAACTCTCGGTTACTATTTCAAACCTCCCAGTCCCATCTCCCTGCTTATGCTCAGCACCAAGACAAAAATTTCTCAAATCCCATTTTCCAAAATAGATACACCCACCTACTTTCTCCTTCCATCTGTCAAATATTTAACATTTCCCTCTCATCTGAAACTTCCACAACCACATTTAAATCTCTTTAAGCATCACATATTTTAAGAAAAACAACAAAACATAAAAAACTCTAAATCCCAACTCTCCTTCCAGTTATTACCCAACTCATCCATTCCTCCTCCGAATAGAGTGAGACTCCACTGAAGGCTTTGCTTTTTCCGTTTCCTCATATCCCACCCACCCCTTCACTCTTTAACCTAGCTTTAGCCCAAACACTCCACTCAAAAAGCCCTTGGTAATATCAACACCATTTATATTCCTAACTATATGTCTCCAGCTATATGGACCTTTCACCTACCTCACACTTATCTAACTAACATCTCTAACCAAACAACTAAGTAAGTACATAAACAAGTTAACTCACATGGTGATGAGTACTGGAAAAAATTAAAGGAATGTGATGTACTATAACAACAGGAAGTGGGGAGATACCCCAAACAGCTTCGGAGGAGATCAGAATGATGAGAGAGAAGCCATGTGAAAAGCCTGGGGAACAATGTTTCAGGCAGAGGAAACAACAGTCCTAAAGTCTTAGAGAGAAAGAAGCTGATGTGTCCAAGCCACGTGAAGAAAATCAGCATGTCCGAAACACAGCAAACAGAAGGAACCACACAAGATAAGAAGTGAGAGGTGGGCAAAGGGCAAAGGTAAAAATCAGAGGCCAATTTCAAGGCTATCACAGTGGCCAGGAAAGAGAGGATGGTTGGTGGTTTTTACGATAACTACAGAGATGAAGACGAAAAGGATTGAGGAGATACTGCAGAGAAAAAACTGACAAAACTTAGAGACAGGTTGAATATGGGGATAAGGAAATGGAAGAACTGAAGTTTTTTGCTTAGGCTGAGATGGAGCAACCACTTGGGAGCACATGCCGAGCCACAGCGGAGCAGGACGTCAGATCGGAGGGCAGTGGGAGGAAGGGAAAGGGCGGAAAAACAGGAGGAAGGGAAACGGCGGGCAAACACAGCATCAGTTCTCAAAGCACAGTCTGCATGGTGCAAGGTCCCTGAGGCCCCTCTGGGGGATCCAAGAGGTAAAAGCTATGGTTATTTAGACTGGATATTTGGATATTTAGTAGATATTGTCTTGAAAATGAACAAAGCAAGCCTGTCACTTCAAAGAAAACAACTGACAGTATTTATTGCCCAGGAAAATATAAGCTTTTAAGCAATAATTAGAGTTTTAGAAAATTTCTATCTGCCACCCAGACACAACTTCCCAATGCTTAAAACTTTCTCATGAGATTCATGGCGATTTTAACCAAGGTGATGTTTTAAATATCATATAATGAAATAATATATCAATATCTGGAAGACTTGCATAATTCAGTGAACCAGTATTTTCCAAATGTTACAAATTTATGCATGAGTTAAAGACTCATTCAAACTACAAGAAAATCAATTTTAATCTAACAAGTTCTAAAAGTTCATTAACACTGTTTCAGATTCCACATTGCAACTTAGTTTTAAGAAATTACCACCTGTACAGTTCTGGTGTAGTATCAAAGAAGATTATCCACAATTATTTAAAAAGGCTATTAAAAGCTCCTCCCTTCCCTACTACATATTCAAGTGAAGCCTAGTTTTCTTCACATACCTCAACCATAATAAAATATAACAAAGTGAATGCAAAAGAAAATATGATAATCCAGCTGTCCTCTATGAAGTTAGACAAAAAAAAAAGACACTTACAAAAATGTAAGACAATGCCATTCCTCTAATTTTTTTAAATATAGGGTTGTTGTTTTCTTAAAAATATGTCATTTGTGCTAACACAGTGGGTTTATTATCATTCCTCTTAAGCGAATTAAAAATAGTATCTCTTAGCTTTAGTTTCTAACTTGGTAAACGCAGATAGAACCCACATAAGCAAAGGTTATTTGGAATTCTCAAAACTTAAGAATGAAAACAAGTTCTGAGACCAAAATACTTGAGAAGACTGCTTCAAAGGTTTGCCGTGAAGGGAAAGAAGAAAGAAGGCACTGGCTGGAGGAACACGGGGGACCAGAGGAGGAGGAGTTTGGGCAGCAACAGTTACTCTGATTTTCTTGTCCACAGTAAAACTAGGTATGTAGAAAGACGACACAATATTGTAGTTTTCTAATGCTTTAAGCAAACCATTTAAAATATTCAACAGTTTTTTTTAACTATTGCAATTGAAAATATACAAATTTCTGGTATGTGCAATTCATTTGCAGCACAAAATCACTGCAAGAGTTTTTTTTTTAATTAACACTGAAGGTTAAGAAAAATAAGGAAATCAAATTCACCTGTCAAAGAAAAGATTATCAAATAAAAATATTTTAAGTACTTCATGCTACAGATTATTAATTTTACTTATTGGAAAAGTAATTTCACAATGAGTGCTATCCTGAAGAAAGAAATTAAATTAGCCATTACTACTTACTGTCCTTCAATGAGCCATGTGCACTTCGTTTTATATTTATAATTTCCAGGTCCATCTGTTATAAACCCAGAAGATCCAGTTAGTCTGCAATTCAAAAACAAAAAACAAACAAAACAGTTAAAATGTAAGTCCATCAGAATTTTCACATGTTAATTCTCAATACAACCAAGTTAGGCATAGCAGGTACGTTGATATATACCATGACCAGAAGAAAATGACTGGATGGTTACACTCAGATTATACAAACCTGGATGAAACAAATTCTTGCCATACACTTAAGAAAAAGGGGATACAAACATATTAAAACCAACAGGAATGAACAAAAACATCTAAATCTTTCTAGCTGAGATAGGAAAATCATACTTTGTACCATTAAAAAAAGTCCACAAGAAGTTACTTATGAGTTGGTTTTTAAAAAGTAAGGCTACACAGTTACTGTCACAGAAAAAGTGTGTTATTACAATAAATTACACTGGGGCCAGTGTAATCATGATGGGCAAGCACATCAAGCCTCAACACACAACAGAAGCATTGTAGCCATTTAGCTGCTTCTTTTGAACGGGCAATCTACCACGCTCCATAGCAGTGTCCATCAGCACCTGTCTTCCCACATGGGTGCCAAGCCTGGAGTTTATCAACATTTTTAGGTCTTGCCAATTTGATAGGCACATCTTAGCATCTCATTAGTATTTTTACTGGTTGGTACCAACCCTAATGTTTGAATATCTTCTCATATGTTTTGATCATCTGCATTTCCTCCTTTGTAAATTAGGATTCCATATTCTTTGCCCAATTTGCTACCAAGCTGTCTTCCTCAAATTAATCTTCAGAAGCTCTTTTTATATTAAGGAGCTTCCATTTGTATGGTAAATGTACTATATTTTTTCAGTTCAATTTTTTTCTCTTTATACTTTATGTCTAGTATCTTTTGCTACACACAGAAATTTTTAATATTTGAGAAGGATGTTATTTCCCTTTTCACTGCTGTTTCCAGATCATTTTTCCTCCCTTATCTTCCATCAACAATGTCAGCCTTTCTGAAAAAGATGCTCTCTCCTGGATCTGCCTCCCTTACTTTCTAAGTTATCTACTGACATCCCTGTTACTCCTCTTCATCAGCTCAAGATATCAGCATCAAGCTCACTGACTTCCATTCAACCATATCAACATCCAAGATGCTCCATCCAAAACCTAGCCTCTCCACTTGTTAACTTTACCATTAACAACCTTTCCCCATCCCACTTTAGTCACCCACTCTTTTGAATGCTGCTGTTAGCAATAACAGCTCTATCACCAAAATCTCCAGACCTACACTCTGACTACCATCTCTGCTGTCTCCAGTTCATTTCCTTAGCCTAGTTTCCCCTTCCAAAGAGTCTTCAGCACCATGGGGACCTCCAAGCCACAGAACTATCACTTCTTTACGTTCATCGCTCACCACCTACACATTTCCCTTTCCCACTTACCCAGGTATGATTCCATGGTGCATCACCATTATCAACCGCGGCAAATCCCTTGAATGCTTTGCATTCTCTGTCTGTTGTACTTGCCTGATTCAGACGTCTCCACGTCTTACTCCCCAACATCCATTCCACCCCCAAAAACTTAGTCTAAGCCAGTCATGGTTTCCCATGCTCCTTACTGGTTAGAAACTTGTATCAGTTAAAATTAAGTTCTGCTGCAACTGATAGAAAAACCTAAATAGTAATGGCTTAACCAAGATATAAAGCCCAAAGGTAAGGGCCCCAGAGCACACAAAGCACTTCTATGATCATCAGGAACCTAATTAATGTTCTTCTATCTTGTTGCTCTGTCATTCTCAACATGTGGTTACCACCTCCTAATCCATAACTGCAGTTATTATTTCCATATTCTACCCAGCAGAAAGGAGGAAAGAAAACAAGGTACACTCACGCTCTCTCAAAGACAAACACGACAATTCAACTCACCCACTAGCCAAGATTTAGACATACCTAAATACATAGGGAGGCTGAGAAATCACAGATGACCAAGTACAAGAGCAGTGAAAAATCAACACTTTTTACTAGAGAAGTGGAAAAAGGCTATGAAGGGTAATTATTTCTGTCATAGCATGTAATCTAATCTTAGATGTGAGGGGAAGTCTGATGGAGGGCTTCTAGGAAATATTTTCTCATTCTTAAGAAAAACAGTTTGGTAGACAGGGAGATATACCGCCTAGATCTCCCCTTCAAGAAAGGACCTGCTGCCGCTGCAGAAGGGAGCGCGGTCAACAGTCAGCACCCAGCTGTCAGTTTCATCAGGAGCTGCCTTGCTTCAGGTCATGCCCTTCCCAGCACAGCCCACACCAGAATGGGTATAAAGGCTGGGCATCTCAGTCTAACATGGGACAACTCTGACAGGCAATCCCTGCTCCAGAGCGCTCTTTTGTCAGGCCTGCACTGAAGTTCAACTTCTTTCTTTGCCCAGTTCTGCATCCTGCCCCTTCCTCTCACAGATGTACCTCAAACTCCATCTTAGCAAATGTTTCCAAGAAACCCAACCTACAACAGACATCCATCCAACGAGACCATCCTTCTCCCTCTGGACATTGCTACATTTGGATTTTACTACAGCCATCATGCTATAAGCCAAAACACAAGGTAACATCAAGGAGGACAAATCAAAGGAATGCCAAGGTCCCTGAAGAGCCATACCAACCAACCACAGAGACCAGCCCAGTTTTATGGTAAGTAAACTTCCCACCGGTTATCATTTCAGTGTGCATGCGAGCGTTCGTGCATACCCATGGGCTTCCTTGATTCTTTGTTTTAGGCTCTCCTAGTTCAAAACAGTCTTGCGGCTTTCCATGCTTGTTTTGCCCCTAAGAATTTCTACAGATTCACAGGAACATGTTCAGGTATTTGCAAGTCTGTATCACTTCTGGAGAAGAAATAGGTCATTCTTATTTTAAATATTTACTTGGTATCTTCAAACATACACATTTACATAATCTTACAGGTAATGAATAGATATGATCACAGACAGGCTTTTTGGTGAACTAAAGGACAACCCTCCCTTTTTAAAATGATCTCCTCAAGTACTCCCCCTCTTCTTCCCACCAAGAGAAACATTTAACCACCTAAAAGGCAATCTTAATTATTTTTCTTCATACTCATGAGCCCGTGACATATGCATGGTTCTCTTAACTCAGTGTCGGTTACACAAATTAATTATTATACAAGCTTTTCTGTATCTTCCTTTTTTCACTCAACAAAAACTTTGTGGGAATCCCTCCAACTAATCAGGAGTTGGCCTACTTCATCCTTTTTCATGTAGCATAATATTCCACCCAACAAGGTATCACTTTTTTTTCTGTCTTTCTCCTACTAACATTCATTCTGTTTTCAATCGACTGTCATTATGCACACTGCTGAAATAAATATCCCTCTGCATATGGTCTTACTTGTGCTTTTATTTCTAAGAAAAGAATCTTAGGAGGATTACTCAGCCAAAAGGCACATGAATTTTAACTGTTAACCAGGTTGTCAAATTATTTTCCAAAAGGCTGTAATAATTCACTTTTGCACCAGCAATGTATGAAAATATTCTATTCTCCATATCCCCTCTGTATTAGGTATTCTTGCTTCTTTTAAGTTTTACCAGTTTTTAATTAGAAAGTCCCTGTATTCTACTGAGTGGCCAACAACTGGTTACTGAAAACTTAAAAGAGACTTGAAAGAGGAAGGCCAGGAATATGAAACTAAAATTTCAGGTTGAGTTTTACAGTGTCACTGGTGATCTAGGTATGGACACTGGTAACTCCTCTGTCTACTTCACCAGCAGTAACACAAAGGCATCAAATTAAAACATATGCATTTCAACAATATAAGACTAGAAACATAAAGAATTAACCACTTGCTATTATTCATTTCCCCATTCAAGAATACACAGAGGGTAATTCCACAATGGAAATGAATACAAGGGAAACACAGGAATCCTCCATAAGAGACAGGTTTCGAAGAAGTCATCGTAACTCTTTCTTTCTCATTTACCTGTATTATTACCAGACAGTGTGGCCTGTGAAACCTCAACTTTTCTCATCTCTTAAGATTTTCTTTATGGTCAAGTACCTTGAACATTAATAAACTTTGTCTACACTTCTCTGGACATTAAAAAAAAAAAGACAATCTATTGTAGGAATGTATACTTACATAAACACAGATATAATTAAGTTTACTGGTGCACTATTCAATTTCTTTATATTCTTACTTTTTTTATCTACTAGATCTAATTCTGAGAAATGTATACTGAAATTCCATACTATGACTGCTCTATTAATGACATTTCTCACTTATTTTTGCATTCTGTATTTAGCTATTTAGCCATACAAGCTATAACTATTATATCTTCATAAATTATGCCCTTTATTGTGATAATAACCTGTTTACCTAGTTTGATGCTCAAATTCCACCCTGTCTATTATTATATTGATTTTTTGTTGTTTTCCTGGGCCTTGGGTATTTCTCCAACTCTTTATTTTTCTTATTTCTTTATAAAATTTTCAAAAGTTTGTTTCTTCTAAACAGGATATAGTTAGGTTTTGTTTCTTTTTTTTTTTTTTGCTTATGAAAATTTATTACTACCACACTCTATCAAAACTTATGATCTTGGTCTTTCCTTTTTGCCTTTGTATAGGGCCAAAAGAGAGACACTGGCTACTTTGACCACCTTCAAAGCAGACTCCAGGAATGTCAGCAACAGCATAACCTTTGCAACCAAATCCAGCAACCAGAACCTCACCATTTTCCTCAATAAAATTCAAACAACCATCACTGGGCACAAAGGCTGTGATATTTTTTGCCATTCTTGATTAGCTGAACCCTGACACACTTCCTGATGGCAGAATTTGGCTGTTTGACTTCATTCAACCCCTACTTTTTCGAGCACAATTCCCTCAGCGTGAGAAGTGCCTCTTTCAGGGCTGTGCCCAAATGGGCTTTCTCATACTGTTTATCACGCCACTTCTGGTCTCTACGGTGGCTGCGGAGCTTCCTGGCAGAACGAAGACCACGACACTTGCCCATCCTCCCGGCGCCACAGGCCTGAGTGAAAGAAAGCTAGGT